AAATGAGAAAGAACAGGGTCGCATGGACAGCAAATTAACAACTGACAAAGGGAAAAAAGGCGGGGGGAAAGAGCAAAGGCCCCATCGGTAGTCCGACGCTAACATCAATAGTCGTGACTCTTGGGGGCGACCATGTCTTGGGCGCGCAGCCTCGGCGTTCTCTGAGGTCAGCCTGAAGTCCGGTGAACGCCATTCCAGATGTATTCGAACTTTGATGGTTGAATAGGGCCAGATGCATGGGGACAGGAGACCGAATTCGTGGTTCGCTTGGGGCAGAATGACTGCAAATCCTCTCCAAGTGGATATCCAACGCCAGGCACCGATCAATCAGACGCTGCACCCCGACATTATCCCGGGCCGATCAATGCTTGGAGGGCCTCTCTAGGCATCTTTGGGGAAAGGATAGTCGGGTTCATTGAGGATGACTTGAACTGCTCCGGAGTACATTGAGAATTGACATGTTGGAGTCTTGGAGATGTTGACTTCCGATATGACCGACAGGGAATCTTCTATCGTCCCACGCTGTGCGACCATACCTAGCTACTACTATCCAGTCACGCGAAACGGTCAGATGAACAATTATCCACAAGAACCCCTTTCCGACCCTCAACCGTCCAGAAAACCAACAGAAAAGAACGCCGAGCCACCGGTGCAGAAGTTCGTCCAGGGTCCATTCTTGCCCCCAAATGCCCAACCTAACAGCCACCCAAACACGCGATGGCTCGATGTCTCACTCTCATTCTAGAAATGCAACCGTCGGATCCACCGGGTTATATTTATCTGTCTCGGTCGCTTTCCACCAATCGGCTGCATCGGGACATCTGAGGTTTTTTTTGATTAATTGTGGACTTCCTCGGCTGTCGTTGGATTCGGGATAAACTGTGATTGTCTGATAGTCTCTTGACTGTTCCTCGTCGGACGAGTGTACGGAGTACCCCGTAGATATCGACTGATATACAATTGGATTCTCCTTGCATATCACCGCAGCCTCATGGGCCCATATGGCAGGATGTCACCGACGCCATGGTCAGTCCTTGCTGGAGAGGTCACATCTCGTCCACGAACCCAATCAATAATTGGGGATGTGATTTCAGAAATCAATATCCAATCAATGCATCTATAATATTACACAAAAAGTGGCCCGTTCTGATGTGAATTTCCCGTTTCCTTTTGGTAACTTTATTATTGACCTACACTAATCTGCCTGCCATCGAAACTGATCCGTCGTCTGGGCAAAAGTAAAGGGACAAGATAAGGTATTTCAAAAAACAATCAACTCGATACGTGGCAGTCCGTCAAAGTAGTTAAGATTCTTGCAGAGAACCAGTGCGAAGATAGTTCAAAAGACACATTCGCCGTTTTCCTAAAAAGAAAAAACTGTTCAATAATTCATCACTGGGCCGCCAGGACCAGGACCAGGCTTGTCTTCGAAGTTGGCTTCGTGTCCGCCATAGTCGTCCAACGACTTATAGTTGGGAGGACCGGCGTCGCGTCCACGACCACGGCCGCGGCCACCACGATTGGCATGTCCTCGTCCGCGCGGACCCGAACCACGGCCACGGCCACGGTGGGATCCTCGGCGAGGGCCGTCATCATGGTGTCGGCTATTGGGTCCGTGACGATTGTACGGATGCGCTCTTCCGTGAGAATGCTCATCGTGCGTGTTCTGATGGCCATGAGCATAATCATCGTGGTCCTGCCGATGACGTCTCTTGTTGTTCTTGTTCAAGAACTGGCTCTCCCACTCGCCCTCGTTGGGGTTCTCCTCTTCCACGCGTAATACTACTTTCTCCCCGACAACGGTCTCGAACGTCAAGGCTTTATCGGCAGAGACGGGCTGCCAGTTCTGGATCTTGCCAGCATCGATCGGTCGCGCGCCTTTGCGCACCGCCAGCACCACCACGGGGGATGGGTTCTCCGTGTAGTACTTCTCGGTTGCCGGAACGGGAGTCATCCGGGCGGCCCAGACCCGGTTCTCGAAGGCTGCAATCCCGGTGACCTGCCAGTTCAGTTTCTTGCCGATGCCGCCGACCTTCTCCAGGATAGACCGAGGGGCGGGCCGTGGGGTGATTAGTATACTGTTAGCCATGTACTTCAAGTCATTGGAATCAGCAAGCCCCGAGGGCAGCATGGGGGTCAGAATCTGACTGATTAGACGGCCAGAGTCCGCATTCGATATCAGATAACCAGTGTAAAAGATAGTTCGCTTGATACGGAGCCGACCGTACGGGGACTTGGTGCCGTTGAGGGACAGATTGCGAATCACGAGGTTGTGGGAGTTGATCATACGCTGCACCTCGGCGGTTTCAAGGACGGGTGAAAGATACATCGATCCCTCGGCTACTTGGATCACCTCCGCGTTGATGGGTCTTCGGGAATAGGGTGTCGACAGGCCTTGGAATCTCCGATTCTGTTGCTCGAAGTAATCTCGGAAGTATTTGACGCTGACGACATGTTAGAAGCACCTTCGCGGGGATGGTCGGACACCACACTCACTGCTTCACCCGATCCTCGTAGACGCGAATCTCGTCAGCCTGCTCATATGTGAGAACGAGATCTTCAAGGAAAGATTGCTTGAACTCCATGGTGGTTGAGAACCGCGCGTTATTGGGTCCAACTTCGGGCTTGAGACAAATCAGGTCAAACTCAAGTTTCCTACTGTCCACCATGCGTCTAATCAGGTCGGAGAATCCGCTCTCACTCCGTCCGGTAAGGAGCACCGTGAGAGCGTCTTTCTGCTCCATACTGAGCTTGACCAGTTGCACCTGTGACGAATCAGCCAAATATCCCCAGCATCTAAGGAGCGCACCTGAGTCGCACAATCTGCTCGTTCCACCATCCTTCCCAGGCGCGAGGTTCTTCTTTTTCGATGCCATCCCCCGTGGCGGCAAGGAGGTTCGGGTCGTGCCACCATCCTCCGTTTGCAAAGCTCTCGTAGGCTTGCAGGAACCCGATGGTCGGGCCATTCCAGATTTGTGGGTTTGGAAGCGGGCTTAGAAACACTGGACGGTATTAATTCCCAGATGCGCCTAAATTTATCTCCCAGTTTTAATGTTCCTTACATGTGTTGTCGAAATCGTAGACGTGAATCGCTTTTACCTGCGGTACGGCTAGAGGCGACAGAAAGGAACGATGTTAGCAAGGTCACGCCCACCATATGACACAAGACCAATAAATAATAAATCCGGGAGGTCTCACCGGGGAGATTCCTATTGATGATCGACCATCGTCTCAGACCTGTAATAGTGCGTGAGGGGGACCGGGGAAGGTCCTGGGCCAGAGCCCCGTTTGGCTGACCGCGCGACATGGCGGCCGACTCCTGGCGAGACGCGTTCTCTGCCACGACAGCTTTCGCAGACCTCATCTCTTGCAGACCATGGGACTGGCGATCAAACGCTGTGTCTGTTAGTGCATTGCTCGGGGCGGGAGGCAGTCTAGAGTGATGATCTCTTCGCTGGCTGGCGGGCGTCGGGGGAAGCAAGCGACGGTTTCGCCGCGGAATTTTCACCATCGCCGACCACAACGTGACTTCTTCCGCCAACACCCCGACTTGCCTAATGGGCTGGAACCGGATTCCCATCAAAGGTCCTGAAAAGCGTCTCTTTCCCTCGCGCGTTTCTCAGATGCTGGTCTGATGTCTGACGATGTCGACCTTCAGCAGGAAATTCTGCAACGGACTCTGCAGGAGGTAGTGCAGGAGGAGAAGAGTGACGAGGTGGCTAATCCATGCGTCATCTGCTTGGAGCCCGTCTCTGAATGCGCTCTCGCTCTGCCCTGCCAACATGCGAACTTCGATTTTCTGTGTCTAGTGAGTTGGCTGGAGCAGCGACGCAGCTGTCCTCTATGTATGTTCTCGGAATATTCCCTGTTTCTTTCCTTCCTGTGGATTCTAATCTCCGCCTAGGCAAAAGTGACGTCGAATCCGTGCGATACGATCTCGGCGGTAGTGACGGCCCAAAGATCTACCAGCTCCCTGCCCTTCCTCCCCAAGCTGCAGCAGGCACTAGTGCCTCGTCATTCGATACAACCACCCCTCACCAACGACCGTTTGCATTTCGCGGATCTCGCCGCCAGCGACGCGCTCTAAGCCCGCGGCTGCAACCACCCGACGACCCCCTTCTACGCCGACAAAATGTCTACCGCCACCAGCTATATTCCCTTCGAGTCGGTTCGAATCGAGTCTCCCAATATCGTGAATTCACCCCCGAAATGTTCAATCGCGACGAAGGACTGGTCTCGCGCGCCCGCAAATGGATCAGACGGGAACTGAGGGTCTTTGCGTTCCTGAACCCCGAGACGGAGACAGAGACAGAGACGCAGACGGTTTCATACCGCGGGCGGACGACTCGTCCTGGACCGCAGAGGCTGGAAAGTCGTCGGGGAAACAACGCCGAGTTTCTGCTCGAGTACATCATTGCCATTCTTCGCACGGTGGATATCAAAGGCAGTGCTGGCCAGGCAGAGGAGCTTCTGCGAGACTTTCTGGGAAGGGACAATGCACGTCTCTTTCTGCATGAGCTGCAGGCCTGGCTTCGGAGTCCCTTTACCTCTCTCGAAGATTGGGATCGCAATGTTCAGTATGAAGACACCTCGAGATTGGGTGCTAGAAGTACGACTAGTGGAGATTCTGTGGGTTCCCATCGAACATCAACTCCTGTGTTCCGAGGCCGTGGTCGCGGTCGCGGTTACGGTCGCGATCGTGGTTTCCGCGGAAGAGTCTCAAAGTCTCATTATCCACGAGGACGGCAAGCTCAGGACAGACCTCAGGACGCTTCGGCGCAGGCACGGCGCATACAACATGCGCGAGATCGATATATTCCTGATTAAGGATTTACCATTATTTCTCCAGGTCTCATGAAGTTCATGATTTGTATGATTTGCTTTAGAATTATGTATATAGACTAGCGCTTTCTGTGCGGTCGGGAATATGGTATATAAAGATCAATGCTCTCGGATCGTTGCTCATAAAAATGCCTGTAAGCTGGGGGCCTGGTATCTCATCAGCGGCGTCTGCCAAAGCGACCTGCGCCTCGGCCTTTGCTGCCCCTGCTTCGAATCTTCAAAGATCGATAGTTGGCATGCGCTTGCGGATTGACCTTCCTCTCGCGCGGCTTCTTAGCCTCAGTCGCCTTGGTCTGAGGCGGCGGTGCTTTCTCCTGACGAGCTCGTGGTTGAGGCTCGGGCACGCCGATGGCCTCTTTCATCTTCTCGGAAAAGCTCTTGCCCTTTGCCGCCGGCTTCGGCTTCTCTCCGTATTCGGGGTCCGAGTCGAGATCGGGTTCCGACATTGTGTGCAGCGAGTCAATGTCGTCGAAACCATCGTAGTCGAATCCGTCGACGCCTTCTGCTCCATTCGGCGCCTGTGTTTCCGGCACTGCCGCATGTTCATCCTCATGTTGCTCTTCGTCATACTCATCCTCTTCAGGCGGCTCTGGCGAATGGGGTTGTGGTTGGTGCTGGGGCTGTGATTTCACGACGACCGGCTTCATATTCACCCTGCGTGTCGTGCGTTTCTGACCCTTCTTCTTGTATGGCCGTCCGTTGAAAGTAACTGGCGCTTGGCTGTCGGTCACTTGTACGTTTGCCGCGGCTGCTTGCTCAGCTTCGATCTCATCCAGCACGTCAAAGTCGTCCTGCACCCGCTCATCCTCCATATCGCGCAGCCCTTGCACTATAGCCGACAGACCCCGTCCGACGAGCTTCGGCGGCTTTCGCACAGCCATGGGGCTCAGCCCGCCAGCATTCCCGGTGGAGGTGGAAAGGCCGTACCGTGCCGTATTCGACCGTCTAAGGAAAGATGGCGTCTCCGACCCCGCCGGCTGCGCGTTCTCGACATCCGCGTGCTGTTTCCCGGCGTCCGCGGGCACCGCATCGTTCTCATTTTCCACCATCGCCGCATAGCGTAGCGTCGTCGGCGTCGCGAAGAGAGTCGAAAGCATGTACTTCTTCCCTGACGACGCAGGCGTCCGTTCGCCTCTCGGGCTATCGTCTTCCTCTTCATCCTCCTCGGCAATCGTATCCATGGTCCTCCGCTTCGACGGCGTCTGGGCATTCGCGCCCTGGACGCTCGCTATTCTCGTCGCTGACGGAGTGGCTGTGCTCCCGCCGGATTCCGAGAGGAGGTCAAACAGTCCGAGCGCTTTCCCGTCTCGTTGGGGTGTGGGACCGATGGCTGCCTTCAATGGCGATGCCTGCATGTGCGTCGACGGGCTGAAGAGTCGACGGAACACCGACGGCGAATCGTACGGGTCGACGTGCGATGGATGCGCGCTGTCTTTCCGTGACTTGGCGGGCGTTTCGAAGAGTCCTCCTCCCCTCGCCGCCTTGCGGGGGGTGGTCGCGTGGTCTCCATTTCCTGGGCCTGTGGGCGATGCGTGCTTGCGTTTCGTGGGACGTTGATCTTCTGACTGGGATTGATGGGATCGGTGTTTTTTCTCGTATTTTGTGGACTTTTCGAGGGATTTGAGTCGAGAGTATTCCTTGTATTTGACAGCTGGAGCAGTGGAAAAGGGGTTAGTCAACAGAAACAAATAACCAAAAATGCTTTTTTCAGAAAAGAAAACAAATGAAAGAAAAGACAGTTGAATCAAATATAGACATACCTATATCCGGCACCTTCTTGATATCATTCCGTTCTGCTTTCCGGCCTTCGTTTGCAGCTGCGAAGGCTCTCTCCCATTCCTTCAGTTCGGCGCGTAGGTTGCCCGAGAGCGTCGCGATTTCGGAGACGTCGACGTCGGCCATTATTGCATGTTGGGATGTGATACGGAGTCGTAGAGGAAAGTTGATAAGAGTACCTAGGAGTCAGGGAAGAGTAGTCGGTGCGTAGGTCATGGAAATGCAATGCTGGCTCAAGGAGAAGTCAATGCAAGACAGCGCCGCCCCTCCGTCGCGAACGCGAAAATCCAATTAACGCGGGTTAGGCGCGGGTGACGTAGCGTGTTGCTGTCACGTGATTTTCTTCTTCGTGTAGTTCTAGATAATCATCATTCTAGTCTCATTATCATTATACTGTAGCACGCTCAATCTATTACATGCGAATTGTATCTTCAGGCCTGCTTAATGCAACTTCTCTATCCTCACCAACTCGTCAACCCGCGTTGTTTATCAAACCCTCCTCTCAACTGCGACTCGGGATGAACCACCTTCCCTTGTAGGAGAGTATATTTGACCACGCCCTCGCAATGCTCGGGTTTAATTCTCGCCAACCAAATCAACTGCTCCTCCTTCTTGCGGTAGATCAAGGTATTAGCCGAGAACTTGTGGCCGCCGACATGGGACACGAAGAAGATGCCTACGCCGCCGGGCCGTTCGTCATCCGCGTCTCGATAGAGGCCCAGCGGTCGCAGATGCCGTTCCAGTTCACGCTTGATTAACGGCGCGGTGATGCCGCATCGCGCGTCTCGGCGCTTGTGAGAGCAGAGCAGCACCACGTAGTCATATCGACAGGGTCGCGACGGTAAGTGAGACCGGGCGGGTTGTCCGTCCGCTCTGGACTGGGGGGCGTCGATGAAGCAATCCACGAGCTCTTTGACGTCGTCGCTTTGGACGGAATCGACGAATGTGAAGGAGGGTAGAAGCAGGACCGTGCTCCCTGAGGGCGTCTGGGTCTCGCTGTCGCTGTCATGCTCCGGTTCTTGGAGATTCGACGCGGAGACCATAATTCGCTAGGTATTCAGGTTAGTGGAGGGCGAGAAGAGGGCAACAGCAAAGGCATGGTAGTAAAGCTTACTCCGTGTTTGGATTTCACAGAGGCGCGATCAAACGCTTCCATCAAGCTGCCTCGTTCTTCCTCGACGTGCTGCTTCCAGTCGGATTTCCCCGTCGCTACTAGAACATGGGTGTTGACGGGTTTCAAATGTCCGTAGAGAGGAGTCAAAGATTCGATCTTCACTTTGGGGGGAAATTGTGCGGTGCAGTCTGCGCAGTCTCTTTTGCAGTCGGCGCCATCCTCAGCCGGATCAACGGTAGGGAAGAGGTAGTTGTCGCGTTGGATGCCACTTAGCGACAGAAGGGAACGCAGCATGATCACGAATATTAGGAAGTAGCGATAAAACCACAATGATACACGGAGGCAAGGTCCTTGGATCTGGTTTCCGCGTGGAGAACAAACAAAGAATCTACGGCGCCATGATATACTCCCATCGTCGGACGAGAACTCGGAGAGCACCGAATATGCCGAGGCCGAAGCCCGAGCGGCGATGCGGGCGAAGGATGCAATAATCTTAATAAGTCCAGATAGGCGCATCTACCGTGCATGCTATAAGCATGTTGGACGCAGTGATATCACATATGGTGTACTCCATTCTTGGGAGATCTCCTCTGTCACTCCTGATCGGCATTATGTCGGAGATACCATGACAGGCCACGAGAACTGGGTCAAGTCGGAGAAATCGTGTCTCAGAGTTCAGCTGGCGCCATTCACAACCACGGAGTCTCTCAATGTTGCCGCCTAACAGGCAGCGAGGAAGTACTCAGTACATACATACCTGGTAGGTGACAGATCGTTATCAATCTCCTGCTAAACTAAAAGAAAAGACATTGTGAAACCCCCTCCGGCGTGGATTACTGCTTGCGGTCAACTCGCCCGTGGGGCCACAACACGTAATCGCCGTCATCCAATTCTGTCTGCTGTGCTGCGCCGACGATGCTCCACTGATAATCGCCGAGAAATTTAATTTTTAGAGGGAAAAAAGATCAAAAGAACCATGACGGGGATGGGCCGCCATCAAAGTCCCTTAGATCCGCCCCTTTCCCTTTCCCCGTCGCCTTCAACATCATCACCATCATGACCGACGTCCAGCAGCATCTGGGAGCTCTTGATCCCGAGCCCCAGCCGGAACAGCGCGTGCGGAAGCGACGGCGCCGGACGATGGCGTGTACGCAGTGTCGCAGTAGAAAGCTCCGATGCGATCGCGAGTACCCGGTCTGCGGCCGTTGCCAGAAGAGCAAGTCGCCCTCCAGTTGCACCTACGAAGATGGCTTCCTTTGGCAGCAGCCCAATACGGTTGCATCGCCCGCGTTCTCCGACCGAGGTTCCACAGCCATGGCTCAATTGCCCCGAATCGATCGGACAAGCGCTGCCCACCCTACCCCGGACTCGGGGATAAGCTCGCTGCCCTCTCGGCCTTTCCCGAGCCTGACGGGCAGGAAACCCGGCGAGGAGAAGCGAGACCGTTTCTTGGAGACCGTCCTGGGCGCCCCCAAGGCCGCCGTGAACCAGGAGCCCTATGTGAACACTGAGGTGCTGCAGCGCCCGCGACCTTCCTCCGAGAATCGTCGGGCCGCTCCCTCGCGCCCTCTCGAAGATAATGACAGTCCTCCTTCTCCTTCGCAGCAGTTGGACCTCATGCCTCGCATCATGATGAGGGGGAAGGAGACCAAGACGCGCTTCAACGGCTCGGGCATTTTTGCCAACCTCATCGCCCAGGTAGCTATCTCTACCCTCTCCCGTGACCTGTACGAATATACTGACCGAGTGGATAGTTTCCCGACATCAAATCGTTTGCAGAAGAGATTCGACTGGCCAGTCCTCAGCTTTCGGCGCTGCGGCCAGATCTGTCCCGCGTGGCGAGGGGGCTGTGGAAGAGGAAGCCCCTCAACACGCCTATTCCAATGCCGGACACCACTTCTCTAACGAACATGCTTCCCTCGCGGTGGGTTGTCGACGAGTTGGTGGTTCTCTACCTGACCTACATCGAGTCCACCCACCGCATCCTTCATGTTCCCTCCTTTCTCAAGGAACTGGATGAGTTCTGGGCACAGAAGGAGAACCCGGAGCTCGTTCCGCCGCACTTTGTTGTCCAGCTATTGTTAGTCCTGGCGTGCGCTTGGGACCTGGCCGACTTCGACTCCCTGCAGGCGAAGAATGAATCTACGCTAGTCTGTTACACCGCTATCGAATGGGTGCTCCATGCGGAAAAATGGATCGAGAACGCACATATCAAGCGGCCGGAGATCACAACGCTACGTCTTTCTATTCTCTTGGTTATTGCGCAGAATATCCATGGCATGAATCGGAGTAAAGCTTGGCTTGCCACGGGCACTTTGGCCAAGCAGGCTATGCTGGCGGGTTACCACCGCGACCCCAGTCGGTACACCAAGATTTCTACTTTCAATAAAGAGATGCGCCGGAGGGTTTGGACTACCATTGTGGAGCTCGATCTCCAGATATCCTTGGAGCGGGGGATGCCGCCTTCCATCCAAGAAACCGACTACGACACGCTCCCGCCGTCGAATGTTAACGACAACGAGATCCACGAGGACACGACTGAGCTTCCGCCGGGGAGGTCATTGGACGAATTGACAGATTCGTCCTTTCAGTGTGTACTGACGCAGTCGCTCCCGCTGAGGCTCAAGGCATGTGAGTTGATGCATTCCCCTCGGATAAGTTGCCGCTACGATGAAATCCTCCGCATGGACTGGGAGCTGAGCCGATACCTCTCGAACATCCCGCCCTGGTCGATATCCGGCGTTGAAGATGTCCAGACCCAGCACAAAATCACTTTAATAAAAGCTCTGCTGGAGACCAAGATTGCCCAGAGCCTGCTGTCCATCCACACGCCATTTGCCATCGAGGCACAGCGGGAGCCACTTTTTGCTGCCTCTGCTCGCAGTCGCCTAGAGGTATCCACCATGATTCTGGTCACCCAGCGACGCTTGTATGAAACGTCGAAGCAGCTATCCCTCTGTAACATAGGTGATTGGACTATGCAAGCCTACTGCTCGATCTGTCAACTTCTTCACGCCGGGAACGAAGAAAAGAGTGAGCATCATCATAATAACATTCCATTCCCTGAAACCAAGCTGACTAGTTCAACAGCTACTTCTTCTTGTGGCACGTCTCTCGCTCTCCTGTTACCTGGAATGCCGGAATCCCTGATTTCCTTGGTGGAGACAATCTTGATCTGTCTAGAAGCACGGCTGCTGCTTGTGGTCAAAGGTGCCAAGGAATACTTCTTCATGTCAACGATTGTGGCGTTAGTGAAAGCGAACCTTTGGCCTGCGCAAGCGAACATGTACAAGCAGGAGGTTGTGGAGAGGGTGATCTTCTTTGCGCAAACGCTCTTCACGCGTCATTCCAATTGCGCTCATTTGGGCGATTGGGGAATGGGAAGCTTCAAGACCAACCAAGTGAGTCTCTTCCGTCCCACCGGGGCCCGGCAGTGCGCTAACCATTTTCTTCTTGAAAGGTACCCAGTTTAAACGCTAATCCTGGCATGGGGCCAACGTTTGTCCCTGACTTCAATATGTTCCAACCGACGGCCGAGTTCAATATGCTAGTAAGTTGTCACCAAACAGACCTTACCGAACACGGCTCTGACTTGTTTCATCACCAGCCGTCTGGGGAATTAGACCCATTCTTGGATGCCTTTGACTGGACGGATTTGACCGGAATTACTTTTGAATGATCGTGTAAGGTAAGCAGGTGGAGTTCTCCGTGAGCTTGTGTCTACCACACCCGCTATTCTGCAATCAACCCCAATTCTGGCTCCGAGCCAGGGGGTCGGGAATGGCTCGGGAATGCCCAGCACGCCAATCAGCTCGCCTACACCACCCTTTACATCCCTTGATTCTCCGTCCCCGGGGGAAAAAAAAGGATAGTCAAATGCCTGGAGGCCTGCGTTCAGGAACGATGGCCCTTGACGTGCCATGATTGGTGCTCTGTGATCCCTGCGATACTGTCCATCATGCTTCTTCCGACCGGGGAATGTGAAGGCCCTACCTACATTAGGACATTCCCAGGCCCGAACTCTAGTGGAATGCGATTCTCCTTCCTTCCCCTCGTCTGCTGTATATATAACGAGAAAAACCGACCTGGCGGCTCGGTCCTCCCAATCCATCTCTAATCTGATACCATACCTGCTCCTACCCCTATCAACTCAAATCCAATCACTTAATTTTCTCGCCTCAAATACTCTTTATCCACAATGCTCGTGACCAAGGTGACTTCCCTCCTCGCCCTCGCGGCCTGCGCCGTGGCCGCTCGCAGCGGCAAGCAAACCATGTCGGACATCGACAACATCTCGAACCACGTGGACCATCTCAACGGGGCGTTGAAGAACTACAACGGCGGCCTGGTCGAGGCGCTTCCCGTTGCCTACGCCCTGCGCGATACGACCAAGAGCGTCAGCGATGCCCGCGCCCACGTCGAGGGTGACGAACCCTTCGCTGACGAGGATGCCGAGGCGACCCGCAAGGCCTGGGAGCAGCTGGAGCCGTCCATCGTGGAAACCGCCCGTCTGGGTACTGAGAAGGTGAGAAGACGTGGATACGCATACTATTCTATTTGATGGAACCAAATACTAATTCGGACGCAGGCACCTCAATTCAAGAAGGCTGGAGCTGGTAGCGTGGCTAGCAAGATGCTGGGTGAGCTGGACGAGGAGCGAAAGGGCTTGACTGGCGACATGCAGCGGATGTCCGAGTCGGAGTACCAGAACTTCCAGCCGCATAACGAGCGGATCAACGGTGCGTTTGACGACTTGATGAACACCTACAACAACTAGGTTGGGGATGTGTTGACGGGATGGGATTCTGGATATCTATAATTTAATGTGTGGCTGTTATGATTAAGAAGTGGTCGATCACTTGTTTAATTACTTGAATTTTCTTCCTGTGCCATCTGGATCCGCGCAACGTGCGTGGGTGGGCCAATATGTTAAACCATCGCCATGTGGTCAGTTCTTGAAGTGTTACTGCCAAGGTCCTGTCAACCTAAACTGGGATTGAGTTCAGGGCGCATGGACCCTAAATAGAGCTCTGTACTCTGTAGGGAGGTTTGGTGCCGGTTCAGTTGCGATTCTGCGGGTTTGCGAAGGGTTTAACCCGAACCCGTGCGGATCAAGTTGAACCCTCTCCGATGGAACTGGAGAGCAAAGAGCTTCAACCAGGGATGCATTCTCCACCGGATTGGTATTGGAATGGTCGATCATCGCATTAGGGTCGGGCATCCATCCACAGTCCGAACGCCCCTGAGGAGTGTCCATCGTCTTTCTTGTCAATTGTACGGAGTAAGAACCTCCCTGCTTCTTCATGGAGATCCTCAGCGCTGATCGATCGTTCTTTCTATGGATCACACTTTATTGAAAGGTATACTGGACCCTCTGTCACTGACCGAGTATATCTCTGGGTGTATGTGTTTATCTACAGCCATTGACTTGACTGGAAGTAATTGGATTAGTCCATAATGATTTGTGGATAAGTCGGTCACAAGAAGTCGAACTACACTGGGCATGACACGCTTTATTGAAACTCGGCAGTGCAAACAGGTCAGTTCCGACCATGTAGGGACTGGATGTATCACTGACACCTCAGCTAGAGGTTTCAGTCAATAGACTCGTCTATAGTCCGGAGTATAAACACTTCATAATTTGTATCGAGTGGGGTGACGTCACCCGCTGTGGATCGACTCTGCCGTCTCTTATTGGCGACAGGTAGTTCTGGACCCTCGCAGACTGTCTGGTTTGGCCTGTTTGTCTTGCTCCCTCCAGGCAGCAGGAAAAGACGGCCTCAGGTACGGAGTGGGAGGCTGTGAGCACTCGTGACGGAGTAGATCGCCTCACTGTTGGGTGTTTCCCCCATCAATCATCCTCCGATCTTCGTCATCTTGATGTAGCCCCCTATCGATGGCCCCGTGAAGAGAAAATCATGTTAGTTATCGCCCCCCTTATCAAGTAGTCTTAGCGATAGACGCTCTGGCCAACACAAGTTTCACCCACATCCAGTGCGATTTATCTCGCCCGGCGTCCTGCTTTCTCTCCACCAGTTCTTGACTCCCAATGGCTTTTTGTCACCTGCCCGCCTCCCTTGATCCATCTTCATCTCTCTAAACTCATCCATCCTCGACAAAAACAGCCCAGGAACGCCGTTAAGCTCCATGTGCGCAGGGGAACAACGTCAATGGTACAACTCCGAATCCTTTCACTATGGCTGGCATCGCTGCTGTGGTTGGTGAATGCTGTCCCGGCCGACGACATCCATGTGTCAGATCCCCTGAAAGTGTTCTCGCAAACCGAGGATTATCCGCTACCCAACCAAGGCAACATTGCGGCCCACGACCCCAATATTCTCCGCTACAATGACAATTACTACATGTTCAAAGGAGGCATGTATCTGCCCGTTTTCAAATCCGACAGCCTCGGGGGCCCTTGGAAGCGAATAGGGACGGTCTTTGATGGGCCCAGTGTCATCCAGAAACAGAACCGCACTCGTCCGTGGGCCCCTACCACCGTCGAGCGCAACGGGCGCTTTTACTGCTTCTACACCATCAGCATGCGCGGAAAACGCGACAGCGCTATTGGCGTCGCGTCGACCGATTCCATCGATGATGGGTCCTGGACCGATCACGGTGCTTTGATCAACACGGGAGAAGGGCCGCAGTCCCATATCTACCCGTATACGGTCTCCAACGCTATCGATGCGGCCTACATCACCGATCAGGAGTCTGGGAAGCCGTATTTGCTATACGGCAGTTTCTGGCATGGAATTTTCCAGCTCCCGTTGAGCGATGATCTCCTGTCGATCGAACATCCCCAGAGTCCTGACGCCAAAAATCTGGTCTTTTTGCCGGACCGGAAGGTGAAGCCGCAAGAGGGGTCGTTTATGAGCTACCACGAACCATATTACTATGTCTGGTTCAGCCATGGTAAATGCTGCCATTTTGCCCAGGGTTTCCCTAAGATGGGACAGGAGTAGGTTTCACGGATTTTCCGAGTGGATTACTTAGACTAACGACTTGCCCAACAGATACAGCATCAGGGTCGGACGCTCTAAGAACGTACGAGGCCCTTTTCTAGACAAGGACGAGCAGAGTCTTACCGACGGCGGTGGCACGGTGGTTTTCGGGTCAAACCACGGGGTTGTCTATGCGCCTGGTGGGATCGGAGTGATGGCCGGTAACTCGAGCGACCCCGATATCATGTATTATCATTATCGTGAGTGCTGTCTGCAAACATCATCAATGACAGCTGGACTAATGGCTGCAGTTAACACTTCTATTGGACTTCGAGATGGGGTAAGTTAGTGTACCTTAAATGAAGTGTAACTTACTAACATTCAATCACAGCAAGCACGTCTCGGTTACAGCTGTATCGACTATCAGCATGGATGGCCGGTAGCAAAGTATGTGTCTATCACACAAACTCATTCCTTATGGCTAACCCCTTGCTAGGGCATGCAAAAGTCGCGGATTGATCGTGCGCCCTAATTACACGTCCACCTTCCTTGCTGTTTTGCGTATGTGCTGCTTGGCTTTGATGCTGCTTACCACACGCTTTCTTGGATCGAGGCTCATCTTTTTATTTCTGCTCCTAGTCACCGGGGCATTCCTATGGGTATATATGTGATGGAATCGCTTTCCTTCATGTTCGTTTCCTTTTATATTGGTCTGCATAGAATTCTTGTCATGTACAGCGTGCGAAAGACAGAGGAATCGGCGTTCGGGTTGAATGTACATTTAGCGAATACCCTGTTCATAAGACAGTCTTTTCTATCTCTATGCTTTTTCCCCCTCTGCCACTCAGCACACAACCGACTTCCCCCCTCGAACAGAAAACGCCAACTCAGGCATCCTCTTCCCACGACCCGACAAATCTGCCCGACAAGACGTGACAACGCCCTTCTCATCCCACTTGAACCCGATCTTCCCTCCCCCTCTCAACCTCAAACCCTTCACACTCCCTCCACCCCAAGCCCCGGGGATCGCCGGGCCCAAAACCACCTCCTGCGCCTTCGCCGCATCAGTCCTCTTGCCATCGAAATCCCTAACCAACATCGCCACCACCACGCCCAGTATCCCATAATTCGCTTCGATCTGGAACGGCGGACTCCCACCATACATCGACAACCCATTACTCGCGAAATTTTCCTCCACGGCCAGCGTAAACAGCGCATACGCCTTTTCCGCATCATTTAGAACCGCCCAGCACGCACTACGCCAGATCTTACCCCACCCGGTATTCTGGTCGTTCGTGCCGTCGCCGCGTGAGGTGAGGGTTGTCGCGACAGCGTCGGTGACGGTGCGGTTGGATCCGTGCACCGAAGAGAGGAGATAGCCTGGATACCAGCCGTAGAGCTCGGAGAGGTGGCGGTGCGTGTCGTTGGAAGTGTCGATGTCGAGTTTCCATTCTTGGATCTGGCCCCAGGAGCCGATGTGGATGCCAGCGTCGAGCTTTTTGTGTGCGGCGGAGACGGCGGATTTGAATGTGTCGTTTGAGTCGCCGGAAGCTGTCCAGCCGCGGAGGACGTGGTCGAATACTTCCCAAATTAGTTGTTGGTAGTGCGTGCAGCCGAAGGTCTGGATTGGATGTCACTGTATTAGGGCTTGGTTTGATAGAGGGTTCTGGGGAAGGGATATGTATGACTGACCGTGGGTCCATGTTCTGGGGAATTGCACGGGTTGACGACTAGTGTTCCATCGTGGCTGTATTCATCCTCGACGAGCTGCGAGAGCCAGAACTGCGCCGCGCCTTTGAGGATCGGATATCCTGTTTGTCGATACCAGGTGATGTTCTGGGTATAGTCGAAATGGTCCCAGACGTGTTGTGCCATCCACGCGTTGACGACGGGGTAGTTGGCCCATCCGGCGTCGTTTTTCATCCTAGGATACCTTATTGAGTTTTGATCTAATATGGCGGATTTGAGAGGGGAGGTAGGGGGTTACTACTCACGCCGTATGCCCAAATATATTCACCTCGTCATGCACCACCCATCCTTCCTCGGCGCCGTAGAGAAGTCGCGCTGTCTCGGCGCCCCGTGGCATCCAGGTCTCGGTCATGTACGTCCACAGCGGCTCCGTCTGTCCGCCGAGTCCCGTCGCCTCGACTCCCCAATGGTTCATCTGCAGGTTGATATTGGCGTGGTAGTCGGCACTCCAGGCGGGAGAGTCCTGCTCCGTCCACAGACCCTGCAGGTTCGGCGGTAAACTGCCCGGTCGCGACGCCGACAGGAACAGGTACCGACCGTAGTCGAAGAGGAGATTTTCGACGAAAGGATCGCCCGGTTGACCGTAGGGGGCGAGGAGGTCCGTCGTTGGCTTCTTCGCCGACCCGTTCGGGTCCGGCAGACTGAGTGTGAAGTCCCCATATATCGACTGGAAATCGGCGATGTGTGATTTCTTCAGTTGAGAGAACGATCGCTTGCGGATGGCTTTGGTAACGGTCTCTTGCACTCTGGAGGTCGGGTCTTCGCCCTTGAATGAGTATCCGGCGGCCGCGTTGCCCTTGGTCGCATCGTAGTTCGTCCCCGCTGCTAGAATGATGTATATCTCCGATTGACCCGACGGGACTTTCACCGTGGACGAGGACGAGGAACATAGATCTTTCTTTACTTTCGAAGAAGTCACGACAGTCGCCCTTGCGTTATAGATCATCCCGATCCCCGGCGAAGTCTGCCCGTGTAGAACAAGACTATTGCCTCGACAACTCACTTGCGGAGTCGGTTCAACGACGCGATTCTCCAACCCGATCTCAACAGCCGGAAGACCCGAATCCAAGCGAACGCGATATACACAGACTTGGTCGGGATACGAGCAAAAAGCATCCCTAGATCCCCATGTATCAGTCAGCCAGATATATCTTTCTCATCGAACTCCCTCAGGAAGACAGCTCAGAGACCCTTACCGCTGAATCGACGCATTGCTCCCTCCTATCTCAAACTCATCCGCATACACCCCCGACTCCAAGTCCAAACTCCGTCTATACCCATGCACCTGATCCAGGAAACCCAAATCAACCGTCAGATTCCCAAGCACCTGGTAAGACCCGTAGTGCGGGAAATCAGCCAGCAAGGCAGACACGTTGCCGGTTTTGTTCTGGAAGATGAAGTCGCGGATGCCGGGCAGGGCGGCGGCGATGGAGGCGTTGGGGTTTCCGCCGGAGTAGGACTATAAACATGTGAGAATGGCTCTATAGGTGGAAAAGAAGATGAGGGCAAGGAAAGAGAGGGGAATGCAATTGAGTTTTATACCTTGTTTTCAAAAGGCCCGCCGCGCCATAACGAGTCGATGTTCAGATTGATAATTTCTTTGCCGTATGTGCCTAATGGCATTGCTGGAAGCAGGTTGTTTATTAGCACCAACCCACCGAATGCAATTGGAAAAGAAAAGAAAAGACAAAACAGGCTCACCTCCCAACCGCCCATTCCCCAGTGGAAACGCCGTCGTGATAAAATTGTCATAATCGCCAGGTGTATCGGACCAGAGTGATTTGGCTGTGGTCAGAGGCAGCGATAGCGCCAGTGCCGAGGCGACTATGAAGGGGCGCATGTTCAACTTGACAATGCATGAAGATTAGGTGTTGGGAAAGGGGTGAGGGGAGGGGCAGGTTATATCTACCCATTTATGCAAGCGAGCTCGGTTAATTTCTGTAGTCTGCATACTGTTTATATTAATTGAACTCATGCAATTCCTTTTCTCGTTCCTTGTTCCTGCATCTACACGGTTGATTGGAGGAGTTTTTAGCTGCGTCAATCGGCGATTCAACATGCGGGGAAAATGATTAGCTGCCTCATTCATGTAACTGAATATCAGTCACCGGTCCAGCAGGAGATCTATCGATGGATTAGGGAGTATGATCAGAATAAGTTAATCTGAATACTTACGAAGGTCATGTAAATGGCTGTTATTCTGCGCACATGAACTGGGCATGTTTCCACAAAGGGGATATCGCGATCAGATGAATCTAGGAAGTGGATAGAAGAGCTATGGGCCCCATGTTATCAAGAGATCTCCGAGAGAGGGTGAAAAAAAAAGTCTAGTGGAAGATAAGAAGGAATGGGGGAAAAAACATCAGTCCACCGGAATGCATAGAGCATATTCAACTCCGCAGACTGCACGTTGATTTAGAGCACTGACCAAAGGAACAGAAATACCAAGAATTGGTCTGGCCGTGGCGTCAATATACATTACCGACATGACATGTCAATTCTCCGGCACCTGAATAGCCTTCAATGGTGATCTTTGGCGGATCGATAGATTGACCGTCACATGGTCGATCCCTATAGCTTCGAATGAGGCTGGATGATCATCGATTTATCGACATGCTTTCGTGTCGCAAAGATCGGATCAGCCTGTAAAGTAGATTTAACTTTTTTGAAATAGAGACTGCGAGAATTTTGGTGGAGAATTAAATTTTATCCAATATATGTTCTAGAAGACTATATCGCAGGTTATGCATAGAGTAAATGCTGGTTAATTCGTCGCGCTGTTGTTGAACTTGGACCCCTGCCAGTGATTGTGCGATGTCGTCTCAAGCTAGCCTGAGACATCGGAGTCGGATCCCAATTTTCTGTTCTGCCAGTAATAGGCACTCTCGCGGGCTTCATATCTATCATATAATAACTGGCGCCCTGGTAAGCCGCATCTACATGTGTATTCAATTCCTCCATGGAGTCTTCCACAATTCCAGCTTCGTCCTGGCGTCGTCGACGATGATTTCTGAGAAACGATGCATTCAAAGGCCTTGATGATCCCCATGGAGTCGGTGTTGGTGCTCTCGGTAACGAACTTTGATCTCCAGTAATGAAATAAAGAGGGAAACATGGGTAGATTGAGGTGTCTGTTCCATCAAAGTTCAGTATCGTGGTCAATCAACATCCAACTATGTATGTATGTACTCACATGTTAAGTCCGCCATATTGGGAGTCACCACTATTGGTATGGTTATAAGACGGGCGATAGTCACAGCGCAGACACTAGAAACTAATCAGTTAGTGCAAACCGCAAGGGAAAACAAGCAGACTAACAAGAACCCGAGAAGGAACACGCCTGAAACGAGCAATTTCTACCCGCGACCCATTTACATCGTCCAGACCGCGTGCTGGGGCAGAAGCAAGAGCGCAAAATCAAGGCCCGTGTTGATGCCCCCTAAACTGTACCCCGGTGCATTGCCGTTTGGTACGATAGTGCGGTGCGGGATCCAGGGCTTCCACATAGCCTCGATGGGGATAAAGGCGAAGATATTTGCACAGATCGCTGTGAGGGAGAAGCCGAGAACGAGGGCATGCAGGACCCATATCTCTATGACCAGTTTCTTGTGCAGGGAGAATAGACGCTGATAGAAGATCAAAATCGAGGTTTTGGTAAGCGCGATGCTTAACTACATGGTAAGTCACCATGCAGGTCATGCTTAGCTGAAGCATCGCGAGTCTATAGATTGAATCGTATACCTGTTCTGCACTCTTACCTTCATGTATGTACTCAATATAGACAACGTGTACTCTAATACATGATAGCCAGCATGACCAATGGTGACAATCAGAATCAATGCAATTGTTGCGCCGTAAGCAAAGAGGAGAGAGGCCAGGCAGACCCAGTCATCGATCTGGATAGAGGAGGCCAACCACCGGGAAAGAAGGCAAAGGATCACATAAATGCTTGATAACAAAGCCATTGTGGGGGTGACACAGAGAAGTATCAATCTATCATGAGTAATATGTGTAATCGATGACCCCAACATCCATCCAGACAGGGCTGCCATTGTTGGTGAATCCTGAGAAGCTTGGTGTTGGCGAGCAACGGGAACCGGTCAGTGGATATACCAAGGACATGGGGGCTATATTCCCCCTGCTACTCGCCAAATTCTTCGCGACGTGCCCAAGGAGACTCCATAGTTCATGCAATCTATTCCAAATAACCCACTTGGGGCAGAATAAGGGGCTCTAGCCTTTCAGCTATCAACTTCATGATGCCCAGACCGACATAGATTTGCGACCCTGACTTCGAGGCATCGCATCCCCGGCACTAAAGTTAACTAGACAAAGGGTCCATGCGCGAAGAAACGAATTATTCTCATTGAAGTCAATACTCGCGCGCTTCAATTCTCCAGGCAAAACTATATGACTCATCTCCTATATATGACTGGCTACCAATGGGCTGGAACAAAGAAAAACTGGCTCCGGTCAAGCCTCTAGCTCAACAGCCCCATCCCCTGTCTGACCATCATTCGATCTATCATAATTTACTCTCGTTTCCCTGTTGATTCGCCCTCTTCCACATGCGAATCCTTCTCTGATGCCCCTCCATGAAATCATCCACCCAGGCCTGTTGAAACACCGGTAACCGCCGACCGGCTCCTTCGGGCTCTCCGGCCAGCCCGCGAAGCTGCTCAAAGTATTGCTCGAAGTCAGGGTAGACCATCAAAAATGCAGGCCCGTCGCCCTTCTTCGCGATGCGATCGGTTTCCCATTGGCGCTGTTCGTCCAGCAACGGTAACTGCGCCTTGCCAGCAAGAACGCGGGCCGCAGCCACAGCTTGCCATTCGAATACTTTGAAGGTCAGACCAGCACCAACCTAGATATCAGTTTAGCTTGTGTTTGCATATCATATATATAAGGGAGAAGGAACTTACCGCTCCGAGGAATACCAAAGACGGGTCTCGCTGGTGGAAGACATGCAAATATAGATCCGGTACGCGGTTGTTGCGGATGGGAATGTCCGGCAAGAAAGGCAGCGTCCAGGTGAATCCCGTGCCTAGGATAATATAGTCGACATCAGCCACGGAGGTGCCGTCTTCAAAATGGACCGTTTTCTCGCCGTTTTCGCTGGAGATGTGCGAAATTGGCGGCCGACGCTCGATCTGCGGATGCTTGAATGCCTCGTCACCAAAGTAGACATTGTATTTGCCACGAACGACGGCGTAGATGGGCGACTGCGCCGAACCAATCAGACTGACGGCTGTGTCTGCGGCTGAGACGGAGGCGCCGACTGTGACGACCCTCTGGAGATTGTCAACGCTTGTCGGGCTTGGGAGAAATTCCAGAACTTCATACCTTGCCTTGGTACTGCTCCGGTCCCCGATACTGCTTCGTGTGCAGCACACAGCCTGGATATCTCGCGGAGAATTCTTTCAACCCAGGAATGGCGGGCACGAAAGGCACATTATAATGTCCCGAGGCTACGACCAGCGCATCGAACGATTCCGACCACCAGTAGTCGAACCCGCCCGGTTTGCCTGCGCGACGGAGAGTCAGATTCCACTTGCCCGTGGACGCATCTTTCACAGCCCGCTCGACCGTGGTGTTGTACCCCACCAGGTCCTGGTAGCCGTGGCGATTTAGCAGGTCCTCAATGTACTGGCGGATCACGGTGTGATGGCGAAACGGCGTATCCGGACCATGCAGGGCCACTGACTCGGCGGAGCGAACGGTCGGGATCGACTCCTGCGAGTATTCCATGACGGACGCATCCACGTTGGTGTGCAGCGTGGGATAGACATGCGAGTCGGCAAAACGGTGTCGCGACAGCGTCGGTGCATGCGACGGCAGCTTGGAAGGGATTGCTACCGGCGCATCTGCCGACCTGGTCGAGAGACTGTCGATGTCAAGCGGAACAGGCGTCTCGCTTGTTCGGGAGACCCTATATTATCATCAATACCAGGAACCGTCAGGGGGAAGAGCAATATGATGGTTTCGAAACGTACCAGTTTCCGCCTGCTTTTTCCTGTCGCTCAAACACCCGCACCACGTCAAATGCCTTTTCTTGCACCAGGGCATCGACAGCAATGGCCCCAGCGGGACCTGTCCCGATCACAGCAACACTTTTGGCTGGCATTGGGAGGTGAAACTTGACGGTTGAGGTGGAGGATGGTCTACAACCCAGGGGGAATGTCTAAATAGGGTCAGGAGTGGTGCAAAGAACGGGGCCGATTGCATCAGCAGAAACCAGTCGGCCCAGCGGTGGAACTGCCCGTCCACGCCTGGATTTGGGACTGACCGTTGCCCTTCCTGCACTCGGATACTTGCCCTGTCGAATGATTGTCACGGATAGGAATTATCCGGAGATCTCCAGTTTTTGTCTCCAATCTCCGGCCTCCAGAATCTTGATCCCCGCAGATTTTTCTAGGGTCTGGCAGTCACGTGGCAGCAAAGCAGCGTGATTGGTGGGCATGCAATGCTGCAATGGATGTGATTGGCTGCACCATACATACTCCTCCAATCCATGGGTTTTTGTCAACAGTCGGTGGGAGATATGCTCAGGTATATCAGTAGATAGTTATACTATCAGAAGTGTACCCTATCAGACATCGAGCCAGAGAATAAACTACGGTCAAGCAATCCAGGGCACTGACGCTTGTCTCACCTCCAACGCTTAGAAAAAGCCCTGCGCCTACTGGCGTTACACGATGCATCACCCAATGTACCACCCCAATGTCCATCTCCTTGACCTGTTCCCCCCACCTCACGTGGATTCTGAAAGTTACTAATCACTTGGCTGCTCCATTGATCCAGCGCGGTGAGCTATGGTCCTCAGGATCCGGCTGCTGGACATCGTCCTACTCATCTCTCTGTACCTTTCTCTGCGCTCCTCCCTGGCGATTCAGCTGTACCTGTTGCTGCGGCTTCCCTTTGTCTAGACCTCGTCGTCCGCCGAGTCCATCATATCGCTCGAGCGTGACCATTTCGACGTCACTTTCCATTCCTACCCGTCCCTGCCGTCCCCCAACGACTCGCAGCCCCCATGGACGACGACCTCGACTGCACAATCCGAGCTGCGCGTCCCTGTCCGACTGCATCACATCCACCTGGGAGGCGCTGAGTTGCGGACCGAATGTCTGAAACATCACCCGGCCTGGGAACCGTATCTCTGGGACGACGTGGCCGCCACGCGCCTCGTGCGCGACGAATTCCCCGATATCCACGACCTCTGGGAGAACTACCCGTACCTGGTGCAGCGCGTGGATGCGCTACGGTATGTGGTGTTGTACAAGCACGGAGGTAGACCACCCGAGAAGAAAGAAGAAGAAGCACAAGAAGAGGGACCGGGATCATCGGAGACTGATGCGCACAGGAGTATAGGCGCTATTCTAGACTTCGATCTCGTGTGTAGACAACCGCTCGATCCTCTTCGTTAGTTTGACTTCGTCGCCCCCGCGGCGCATCCGGCGGGCTTTTTGATCGGAATGATGCTCGCCGCCCCGAATCATTCGTTTCTGGCCGATCTCGTACACCATCTGCCCGTGTTTAATCGGCGGTGGTTTCTCTTGCCGTATGCGACGGTCATGTTCAATGCTGGGTGTCATTATGCTTCGTGCGTTCTCTTTCTTTCTTTCCTTTCCTTTCTGTCATCGGATGGTTTTTAAAGGTAGAGCGCATCACTCACGACAGTTCCAACAGGACCATCTATACCATGCAGCACAACCGTACTGGTCTGCGCATCCTCTCCGGACCCCCTACCGATCCAAACATGCACATGCTCAACGGATTCGTGGACACGCCGCTATTTCAACACCTGGGGAAGTCGTCCTGGCATGCGCACGATGTAGCCGCGTTCCGATTATTGAATGCCGTTCGAAGAAGCAAGACTTTCCTAGTGGCATTTGGTATCGGGTTTGCAGTCGTTGTGCTGATTGCGTTGGGGACGCTTGGGGTGATGCGACGGTCTTCGAGACGGGGTGGGTCGGTGATCACCAAGGCGGCCTAGCTAGACTCCTGGCCTGCGTGATCACAGTTCTGGATGTTCGATCCTTGTCTTGTCTATTTGATTGTTCCTACTTAATAGTCCATACTGTGAAATTGGAAAATCAATTAATCAATTCTCCGATTGTTGCACACTAATCCTATCTGTCGTGAATTTGGAAAACCAATAAACCAATCTTTGACCACTAAATCAAAAAATCCTTCTCAAATCATTCACCCACATATACCGACTAACTAACAAATAAATCACCCTGTCCCACGAATACTGACTCCCATATTCCCAGAACGTCCTTCGTCCCTGAAAATACCGCCCCCTGGAACTCACCAGCAGGACGTGGTCGCCGTATATATCCGTCTCTGAATCCAGGCGCGGGTCGGGCGTGAACAGCGCCGCCATTATCCGTCCCGTAAATACACGTGGGGATGAGATCTATCAGTCCGAAATTCTTTCGAATGAGGGACTTCGTTTGTAGAGCGTATGCTGGGATGCTGGATTGTGGAGTTGTTTCTATGTATTTTCTGCTTCTGGTTACTGACGGGTATGGTTCAGGGGAAAGATGATAGTAGTTATGATCTGTACATACCTCACACCCCCAAAAACAGCCCTGTGATTCAAATGGCCTGAGATCCCGCCGTCATCGAACGTCACGATCTAGTATCGCAGTCAGTCATCAGTTTCGCGCTCAATTTCCGGCTTCTCTCATTTCGATCCATCCCACATTATAATCAACAGAAAAATAGATGATATGACATGATAGCCAGCAGTACTAACCAAGTCCACTTCCCATCTCTTCACATACCTCGCCACCACCTCAGCAATCAGCTCCTCATCCCACCATTTCTTCGGATTATCCTGCAACTCGCGGTGATCGAGTCCGATGCATCGATCTGCTCGGATACCGGCCACGGCGCAGGCAGCTTGCAGTTCGTTGTGTCTAGTCGAACCTTCTCCGTCATAGTTCCCTGGAGAAGCTCCCAAAATCAGTTCTCGTTTCTATCTTAAGCATGGTTTTTCTTTTTCATATAAGGAAATGATTAGAAATAAAAGACAGGTAAGTTTAAGCAAACCGGACGATAAAACCAACAATGACCTCTCCACGCTCAGGTCATCTTCTCTGTATAGCAATGTCGGGCTGAAGAAGAGGCTCTCGTCGTCCGGGTGCGCCGTTACGAAGAGGATGGAGTTGGCGCGGCGGAAGGTGTAGGATACGAGGCGGGGGTCGTTGGCGAGGAGGTAAGCGAGGAGGTGGTAGAGGATGAGAGGGATGAGGAGAAAGGTGGCCAGAAGGGTGGTGATGATGGTCGAAGGGCGTTTTGCAACGCGACGGAGGACGTGTTTGAGGATGGGTAGCATCGTAGGAGAGTGGTGAGGTTGTGAGGGGGGGTGCAGGGGTGCAAGGCAGAAGCTACCAGATGGCTGTGGCTGTGATTTTATTGGCTGGATTTTTTAAATGGGCAGATCTGTATAACCTTCGATAGTTTTGGGATGGGATATTGAGGGCGAAGTATCCAGATTATGGATGATCCAGCGACCAGATATCATATCTCAGTGATATATTTTCTCTAGACGTCACAGCCTCTCTGACTTGTGGTCCAAGCCAATTGAACATCCCGAGTTCCAACTGAAATACCAGAGATATAAACTGAGACCCAAGTTTCAGAACTTGCGTACAGAAAGGACCCAAGAAGGCCGATCTGTCTTGTCTGTATAGATCCTCGGGTCCTCATCTGGATATTCCGGAAGTTGAAAACGGCGGTTCATTCAGCGCCACAAGAACACAGAAACAAATAAGAAACCAATTTCCCATCAATTGGGGTGATAGCTCAGTTGGGAGAGCGCACGACTGAAGACACTCAGTCAGTCAGTTCATCTGGCAATCGTGAGGTCACCGGTTCAATCCCGGTTCATCCCATTCTTCTTACTTTTTGCTTTTAATTTTTTCCCCTCATCGAAATTAGGGACCAAAACTACTTATTTGATAAGTTTTAAATCGTCTTTCAAGAAACCCGATTTATTAGTTTTTTATTGGTGTACTTTGTTGTCCGGTGGCTTTGTGGCTTTATGTAGTTGATCTGTATATCATGGACCTAACTTCGTTCTACCATATAATAAACTCAATATCACCCTCAAGCAATTTCCATTGTCATCATATTATCTATTGTCATTCATTTCTGTCATAAACATTAAATTGGAAGCAATTCCCTCTGTGAAAATGGGATCCTGTTGAGGTGCATCGTTCCAGGCCTATCGTTGAGATGAATCAATCCATGAACAACCCATGAATCGAGACCTCCAGCAGGACCATATACCCCAAGGATAGTGGAACCGATTTCAACGTCTCTATATTTCGCTCTAGCACTTCTCGCATGCAAGAGGGATCGATTGCAAATACTCGGATTCGGAAGCCAACATTGGTTGACGAGGCGATTTTAATACTGTATCTCAGTACCTCCGATTCTTGTAAGTGCAGTTCGAAAGGACCACTCCGGTATTCTGGGGAAAGCAGCATAGGTATTATCACAAAGTTTTGGCTATGCGACTTTCTGCTGTCCGGGATAACATTTTAGGATGGATATGCAGCGCCATGAGGGACTCTTACCAGAGCCTGTGCCGTGGAGTTCTAGGGCCGCTAGATGGCCCAATGTCAGATCAAGCGACACCCCGGAGATCTTAAGCTGCCTCAATGCCATGCAACCCGACCAAGTTTTCATAATAGTGCTGATCCATGCCCGCCTGCGCTCTGGCTTCCGTGTTAAAAGGCCCTCGGAGAGCGCCTCGGAAATATTTCTGTACATTTGTGCGGAAAACCTCAACGGGGTCGGTCTCTTCCTGTCGGCAGATCCACGAAAGCCATCTGTGGCCGGTCGTAACATGAGTGATTTCGTCGTTGTGAATAATCTCCAGCGCGTCCACGCTCTCCTTGTCGCCAGCCTTGCGGAACTTGTCGATGGTCATCGGGTTGACGTCGAGCCCGCGGGCTTCGTGTACGAGGGCAATAATGCTGATGCGCGCCCGGAGATCATGGGCCGTAGATGTGGCTGATTCCCAGAGACCGTGGTGAACAGGAAGGGCTCCAAAGTAAGATCCCATCTCTTCAAGACGGGCCCGAAGTAAAGAAAAGTGCTTGGCTTCGTCATTGGCGACCTTCAACCAGTCATGGAAATAAGTCCGTGGTAGCTCGCGCGGGCTGCCCTGTGATGCTGCTTCTGTCTGGAAGGCAGCGAATCGAATGCAAATGTCGAGGGCAAGATCGATGGCCCACTGCTCAATATTGGCCAGCGCGTGTAGCATAGAAATTCTACTTTTGAGAGTGCCACCCTTTCCTGCTCTCGGCATCTCCCAAGGTTTGACGGATGTTAATCCATCACGAGGCGGTTCGGCCGGCGCGGACACTGTGCCACGCCCCAGCGGCATAGGAGATGGCGAGTCCTCTCGCTCGGTAAAGGTCGCATACAGATGTGCCGTCAATTCAATTTTGTGTTCAGGGTTCGATGTATTCAAGATATGCGCACACCAATCGCAAAGTGTGGCATTCTCGTCCAGATACCGAGCCGGCTCAGACGGAGAAGTTTCCATAGTTGACGCGGTCGATTTGGTTGCGGGCTCGTTCTTCTTCAGGCGCATCTTCTCGCTCACCGGCTCGAGTCTGGCGGCGGTGATGTTGTCTCCAGGATACTGCATGGTCACATTGTCGCCATGAACATTGATGGGAAAAGTGCAAGCCGTGATCCCCACACTCGACTCGCCCGTCTCTACATTGAAATCGTACGCATGCCACGGACACGACACGATATATGCGGAATCTTCGATGTCAACGGAGCTGTCCTGCATCGGCCCACCGGCATGGGGACACTCGGCCTCCATCGCATAATACAACCACCCGTCCTCGGTCTCGTTCGCATTTTTACTTTTCCCGCCTGGCGGTTCGATCGACGGGAGGCGGAAGAGCACCAGACGCTTGCCATCCGACAGGTGAATCACATAGCGCGATTGCGTTAAGTTAGAGAGCGGCCCAAGGCTGACTGACACCATAGTTGAAGATGCAGGCCAAAACAGGGCAACGATGCGATAAACAGGCACTGACAAAGTGAAAGTGAAATGGACTCTCGTTGATGTTGATTCGATGTTTCTTTGGCTCTTTTTGCGCCGGAGAAATTTTAGATCACGTGGTGATTGCCCCATGTGGGGTAGCCTAGTCCCGATCGGGCATCTCTACTGTCCCTCTGTCTTCTTTCTATCACATTGAGAAAGTCATTCGGATGGGCTGCTGTTTCTATTTTGACTAACTCTCAGATTCGATATATATAGCCAAGACTCACACGCCATCACTGTCAGGGAATAATAGGTAGGGCCTAGTTTGTCTGGTTGAAGGTCGAACTCGAACGAGGTACGAATAGCAGCCAAATAGCACGGCCAGCCGAATCCCTACCCAGCAGGTGGCCTCTGCTATCGAGATGAACGGATGAGGTATTCAATCACTTGGACAAGCCCGATCGTGTTCCATCATGACGATCAGTTGGAGAGTATGGGCGTGTACGGCGTTGAGGGTAGTAAGCCCGGGGCGGCGGCGCCGTCGCCGCATGGCTTTCTCACGAAGCAGTTCAGCTCACCCCAGATGAATATGGAAGATTGCTCGGGGAGGCGATATTCACCGCAACCAAGGTCAGTGGTCACCGTTTCCCACCATGTATCTGGGCAACTCAGCTGAAGAATGTGGTATAGCTGTACTGCCATTGGGCCACGACGACACTTGACAACCTGGGACGCGAAGATTCAGACCTCATTGTAGTCCCATTGAACTTGCTTCCTGCCGAGAAAAACGGAGACAAAGGTTGGACATCGGACGACGTACTTGGCCAGAGAAGGTATATTCAAGCGAAGATACTAAACAGGACCAATAGAGAAGTGCCCGAGGACCCTGATGCTTCCAATCTGTTAAAAACCATCGGCAGCGATCTGATGATAAACGCTTTTGCCTGTAATTTTAAGGTTCATGGGGTGGTGAATAAGGGATGTGGTAAGTTAGGAATGGTCCTCTACCTGCTCAGCCACCGACTCGAAATAGAATGAGGCTAACTACCTCAACACGCGCATCTTCAAACGCTTATCAATTAGCAGTCTGAATGATCAAGCTAGAGACAAGCCTATGTTTCTCACCGAGTCCATATTTACTGAGAGTGCCTATGGGGAATGTCTCGAAAAATACAAGGAACGTTTGGGGCTTGGAAGCGACGCAGCCGGAGACCTGGTGTCCTTGATAAACGTGACGATGAGTCCTTGGCCCCCCGATTCCACAGCCCTATCAGATATGGTGAAGGGGTTCAAGAAAATTGCAGGCGAGGAGGTCCAGGTAAGTCTTTATACACCTCTTTTTCTATATCCCTTGATGTTTGGGAACACATGGCTAAGTAGAGATAGCGGTGTCTGAAATGCAACATGCCGAGTCCCGATATCCATGGATTCGTCATGCAAGGGAGCTAAGAATTATTCTTGGTTCATCTTCCTATGTTTCACATGGCAAATCATCGTCGCCAGCTCGTCTTAGAGGCTGAGATCCCCGACCATATGATGTCAAAATACAAAGAAAAGAAGAACGCAAAACCTGATCAATTCTTCACCATCGCCAACGTGAATAAAGAACATCTTATGGACCTAGTTGAGACTGGATCATTTCGAGCTCGCATGGATGAAGGTATACCTAAGCCCCAGCCGCCGAGCGGAAACCCCCAGGGAGAGCCAGTGATGCCAAATCCACTGGCGGCGGGTTTCCAGGTGAAGATTAAACGAGTCGTGGTGTTGGAGACGCTTTGGTTCGACAGTTTGAGCAGCACATACCCGGAGAAAATGCAATTTTATCTGTACGGTTCCGGTCCGGGGTTTCAAATGGATCACGTCTTGAAGAAAGCACTAAATGCACAATTGTGTGCTAACTGTGTTCAGGTCGCAACGCATCTAAACAATTCGCCTTTAAGTGCACATCAGGGATTGGTACGCAAGGGAATACTGATCGAATTTGACCGTGTGCCTGAACATGCGATGCAGCCCCTGTAAGTTCCTCCTATCTTTGATGCTCAGCATGAGTTTGTCTAACATATCCTCAGGTCAACGAACGATGGTCATGACATTGCCAATGCTCCAGGTCTAGGATTCGTTCCTGGAGCCAGATCCGAGTTCACGGCTTTTAGAGACAGAACTAAAAATCGGGTTCTTACAAAGGGAACCCTTGAGTTGAAGGCTAATTTATTTGCTGATTGGTACGAGCTCAACATGGACCCCGCAGACCATCATTGATTGCCATTGGGAAGAGTTGGCTTTCATGTTCTGTGGGCACTGGTCCTTGTAACATGGAACAATAACTACTTCACTGCATCTACAGAGCCAGTTTGTCCCCCATTCCTTTAAATTAGTTGAGCATAGGCAGAAAATGGCACAAGTTCACCAAACCTCTTTTTAGTCTTCTCTTAGATACATTGTAGGATAGTTGCATTTATATTTAGGTGGAGGCGTGCGTCAAGTCACAAGTGTCGAATGAATGTGAGCAACAACCCGCGGATCATCATCATTCAATTGGCCGAAGGCGCAATCGGGTCTAGGAAACGAAGAGATACGGGAGTAGGAAGTATCACGTCAGGAAACCTGATTGATCTTCGTCAAAAACTGATTCTGTTTCTAGATGTACAAGCAAGCTCCTTGTCGTCATCGGTTCCAGGGTGGAACAAGCGCCATATTGTAGGAGGATTGGCAGTGTCAGCCCTGATACATCTGGGATTCGATAAAGTTCAATTCAGGTCCAGTCTGAGAGTGATACATGGGCCGCTCGCCTAGGCCTTGGAAGTCCGAATGCCGTGTCCGACGAGTGCACCGCTGTCGGCAGTTGTATTGGTCCTGATCTAGCGAAGATCGTCCATCCGAGGGCTCCGGCACTTGTTCCTATATGACGATCAAATTATGGTTTACCAGCCATTCAGGCTAGACCGTGAATCACATTGACAGGGAACTGGTCGGTGTCTGGGACCCAGTTGCCGACTTCTAGGCTTAGTGGAACGAAGTTAATGTTGCTGACGGATAGGACGATCTTTACGCTGTTCTACAAGGTACACGAAACAACTCTATTTGCCTTTGATGCCCAGAAATTGGAATCTGGATCTTCGGCCCGTTGCTCTTCGAATGATTCCCTGTGCTGAAACTGAATTAAGTAACTTCCACGAGATATGATGATGAGGGTTTTGTTGCTGCTGCTAATTCGGAATGACAGCCCTCCCTGACCTAAAAGCCTACGCAGCGTTTTATTCATCTCTTAACCGTTTAGTATTAACAACATAAACAACAGTACCCGGCTTAAAAACTTGGCCGCAAGACAGAATATTCGTTCCGTAATATAAGTATAAGGGTCATATACCAATCGTTTAGAGACCATGCCTTTGCATTGTGACTGACAGGCACTGGGAGTCATCAGACAATAGGCTACAAGCCCGTTCCAAGGGAAAAGGTGGCAACTGATCATCGCGACTGAGTCTGGGAGCATCGAACCCCTACGGAAGTATAGAAGGGTTTTATGCCTCAGGCATCAATCGCCACCCGAGTGCGTGATTTATCCGCATCGGCTGTTTTTCCCGCTCGCCCTCCTTTCGTTCTTTCTTTCTTTCGCCTGGTTCAGGTTCAGGGACAACCTTCTTTGATGACACGTCCCCGGGAAAACTCCGGTCGGTGCTTGTCAGTTTCATGGCTCGAGGGTGTTCGGTTTCTTCAATTTTGAGACGTTTTTGAAACGACGCGACAATCCTCTGCTCTCGGGCCTTACCCCGAATCCGGTGAAGGTCATCTCGTTGCACCAACCAGAATGCGACGATCGTCGCCTCTGTGTACACCTGATACTTACTTGACGGGAAACGGTTCAGGTTGAGTGTCCATCACGGCATCACCTATGAGGGTCCCACTGTGGTGCCTTGCGCCTGCAGGTGGTCAGGTCAACAGTGAACAGACCGGGGGGACCTCCCCGGGCGCGAATCTCAAGGGCAGCCCTGGGTTCAGACTCACTGGAAGAACGCTGATCTGGCGTACCGCAATTTGATTGAGTCCCCAACCTCTCACTGGCTCTACAACGATGGTCATCCATGGGTTTGCGATGTGTGTCGATCGTGAGATGTGGGGCGTCCTCCACAAAACACCCGGATCAACCTTTTCGTCCCTTGATAGGAGACGCAGTGTTCAGGGCTGCAAAGCCTACAGACTCTCGGAAGGGACTCGCGTCGTTAGCATGGAAGATTGGAAGCATGGAAGGATTATCCCTGATCACTGTTACAGGATCACGTCATAAAGCGTGAAAATTAAGTTAAGGTCTGCGATATGGTGTGCGCTTCCATTGTCTTTCCCTGGGATCCGAGGTCTCGTTTTTGAGTCTCGGTCCCGTTCCTTAACCTTGCCGGCACCGTCAGCTAGGAGACCTTGGAACTTGCCTTGTTTCGCATACAGGAAGATCATTGCAACATCTGCTTGCACGGTACTAGCATAGCCCGCGCTCTTTCTGACCTAGTACCTTGAAGACATGCCGTTTGGATAGCTGACGTCTAAGGCTCCACTCCTAAATATTGAGTTTCTTCGATGGACCGTATGGAAGGACATGCCCGACGGTGACCTGATGATCTTCTCACAGCTTTCCATGATGAGGTGCTTTCCGTCCAAATTGTACTGATCCATCGTCACAGCCGTTGCCGGTTTGCTGCGAGCCCGATCGCGACCCTTTGCTTGACGTCCAAGTCTATAAAAGCCATGCCAGCAGCCCGTTAATGAACATTACTTTGCAATCAAACTCAGTGAGCTCGGTCTTGATTGAATCTGGAATTCAATTCTTTCTTTCGTGTGATTTGATATCATTTGTCTTTCTTTGACTCAATTACTCAAAACATTCATTCAATCTTTCAAATTTCTTTCGAAATGAAGTACTCCAACGCCGCCATTCTGGGCTTCCTGGGCTGTGCCCTTGCCCTGCCTACGCCTGCTCAAGACGAGAGTCAGGGACTCCCCAACCTCGCACTCCCTATTCCTAGCGGAATCTCCGACCTGCTGCACCCGTCCGGAGCACCAAGCGGATCTGACTCGTCTAGCGGCGGAGCCGGAGGCCTACTTCCCTCCGGTCTGCCTGACATCTCCAAGCTGCTGCCCACCGACCTCCCTATCAAGCGCGATGAAAGCGGTGGCCTGCCATTCCCCATTCCCAGCGGAATCTCCGACCTGCTGAACGGAGGCTCCGGCGGATCTGGTTCGTCTAGCGGCGGATCTGGAAACCTGCCCATCCCCAGCGGAATCTCCGATCTGCTGCACGGAGGATCCAGCGGATCTGGCTCATCCAGCGGATCCGGAGGCCTTCCCTCCGGTCTGCCCGACCTCACCAAGCTGCTGCCCACCGATCTCCCCATCAAGCGCGACGAAAGCGGTGGTCTGCCATTCCCCATTCCCAGCGGAATCTCCGACCTGCTGAACGGAGGCTCCAGCGGATCCGGTTCGTCTAGCGGCGGATCCGGAAGCCTGCCCATCCCTAGCGGAATCTCCAACCTGCTGAACGGAGGCTCCGGCGGATCTGGCTCGTCCAGCGGCGGAACCGGAGGCCTGCTCCCCTCCGGTCTGCCCGACATCTCCAAGCTGCTGCCCACCGACCTCCCTATCAAGCGTGCCGAGGAGGAGGGCCGCCTGCCGTTCCACCTTCTGCCCAGTGGCTTCCCTAACTTCCCGAACCTCCCCAAGCCCACTGGCCTCTTCCCCGAGCCCCCTAAGCCTGTTGGCGGTGAGCAGCCTGCTCCAACTCCGACTAGCGCGGCTGTCCCTACTAGATCGGCTGTTGCTTTCAAGGCTTAAATGGACATGAAAAAGGATGCGTGGACTTTGTAGAATCAGGAGACGATGACTATATGATGGGAAGTAGACACCTTTTTGAAGGGTCATGATGACATGGATATTGGATGATGAATGTGGGTACAGTTACGGATTGTGTATCTATCTATAGAAGTGAGAAAGAAGATGTATAGATAGATGGAAATATAGACAAGCTGGATATATGATCTACTTCGTGCTGTTTTTCTCGTAAATGTGTACAAACAGATGTGTGAATTCCCCACTAAATGATCGAATAAGCAAAACGGAAGATGTTTTTTACCCAATGTAATGTGGACTTAATTTTTAACAGTCTTGTCCTCAAACGAAAAGACTAGTTCAAACATGAATATGCAAGATGCAAGTGAGTGAATCGGTCTTCCAGCCCAATCCAATCGAATCCCATAATTCTCTATAAACAATTTCTTTCTTCCCCTATGCAAATCAAAACGCTCAGACTTAATGAAGAAGAACAACATCACACACACACAAACACACACCCTAACCATCGAAAGAAAGGTTCGGTTAGACTCAAGTAAACACATCCGTAGCATATCGTTCCTTCGTCTTCAACCCCTCCAAGAACTCCTCCGCGGCCTTCTCCTCGTCGCCCTCATCGACGTCCTCGCCGCGCTCGCGCGCCTGGCGGTAATGCTCGCGCCGCTTCTCCAGATACATAGATTTGCAAGCCTGGCGCACGCCCTGGCCGACGCCCGTCGTGCCACAGACATAGACGCGCGCACCGCTATCAAACAGCTCGACAATCTCCTTGCGGTCGTCGAGCATCAGGTCCTGCACGTGCCGACTGGGAGTGCCGTCAGCGGGCCGGCTGTAGGCGTAGCGGACGTCGACGGCGCCCTGACGCGCCCACTCGTTCAGCTCGTCAGCGTGGATGTCGTCACTTCCCGGGGTGCGGCAGCCGACGTAAAGGATGGCTTTGGCGGCTTTCCCGACGTCCGGGTGCTCGTTCGCTGAGCCCATGGGGCTGCGACGGCCGCGGATCTTCTCGACTCGGTCCATGACGAAACCGCGGAAGGGGGCGAGGCCGCTACCGGCGCAGGCCATGATCATGGGCGTGTCGAGGTCGATCGGGGGCTTGAAGCCTGTGTGCGAGGGGCGGACGGAGATGTGTGCGCGCTCTTCGGGTTGGAGCTCGGAGAGGTATGTGGAGGCTACGCCGACGTACTGCTCGTCGGAGGAGGAGAGGGATGGGGCGCTGAGGACCGAGAAGGTGATCGTGCATTCTGTGGGGTCGACGAGTGGTGACGAGGAGATGGAATACTGACGCACGCGCATGGGCGGTAGCATGGCGAGGAAGTCACCGATCGGGAGGTTGACGGAGGGATACCGCATGAGGATGTCCAGGGGGCTTAGGCGCTTCTTGCTGATCTCTTCGGTGAAGCGGGTGGGGCTGGATGCGAGATACTGGAGCTCAGCCTGGACGTCGGCGTCTGAGGAAGCGGCGTTGGCGATGGTGGTGAGGTCTCGCTTGGAGGCCGGCTGCGAGAGCTCCACGTACGTCGCGAAGAGCTCGAAGGCGGAGATGGGCGTGCCCAAGGGGATCGCGGTGGGCCCGTTGGAGGTCTGCGATGGTTTCGAGACCGTGAGCATGGCGTCGGATGGGAGGTTGAAGCGGCTGATCGCTCGTCGGACAACATGGTCCGGGTTGGTGGGAAGCACGGCGAGATAGTCACCGCATTGGTAGGTCATGTCGACGGGAAGCTTGAATCGGATCATCCGCTTGACAGGAACGCCGGGCGCCGTCAGAAGTTTGTTCTCGATCACGGATCCCTCATGCAGCTGGAGACCTAGCGTAGAAGGCCGCGTTCCTTTGCTGACGTCTACCTGAAGGGCCGATTTGCTTTCTTTCGCCTGGGAGCGGCCGAACTTGCCCGTCACCGCAGGCCAGAAGACGGATTCACCCCAGCTATCGAAGTTGGTGAACATGTCTGAGTTCGCGGCATCGGCGACTCCAAGGTCGCAAAGGCGGTTTCCGCCTCGTTCCTCAACCAGCTGGTTGATAGCCTTGGGAATGCGGTGGAAGGTGGTTGCCCAGTCGTCTGTCGTTTTCGAGATTAGCGAGGGTACGGCATACTGAAGAATTTAGAGGATACTTACGATGGCCGCAGCCAAAGACGGCATAGTTTGTGCCCTCGAGTTCGTTTTCCTTCAGGTTGCTCAGCCACTCGAAGAAGTGAGCGGCGTTGTCTGGAGGTTGGCCCTCGTACGAGGCCGAGATGAAGACCACAGGGTCATCCTTCGGGACGTTCTGCATGGCCGAGTCCAGGGATTTGACCTCGGCAGCAAACCCATAACCAGCGGCATCATCTGCCAGTCTTCGAGCAAACGCCTCACAGGTTCCAGTGTTGCTGCCAAAGAAGATATGCATGGGCTTGGCATCGCCCGCGGGAGTCACCTTCTTCTTGCGGTCTTTGATGCTAGCATCCGAGTCTTCGGAGGAAGCTTCGCCGCTGTTCAAGAAAGCACCCAGCTTTGTGGCGTCCATACCGTGTCGAAGGGTTGCCTTCATGTGGAACCCATCGGGCTTGATCGTGAGGGTCTGCTTCAAACGTAGATCATAGCTAGGGTCATCCATTTGGAAGTTGAAATTCTGCAAGAGCATCGACACCAGAAGCAGCACCTCCTGCCAAGCAAACGGGCGACCGATGCAGGCGCGCATGCCGTTGCCAAATGGCTTCCAGGCGTTTTTCGGCAGTTTCTCGAATTCCGCGTCCAGCATTCTCTCCGGTCTGAAATCCTCCGCGTCGTCGCCGTAGATCTTAGGATCCCGGTGCAGCTTGCCCAGAATAGCCACGATGGCCTCGTCTTCTTCCAGGGCGTATTTGCCGCCGCCCAGGGTCACAGGGGTCTCGGTATTCTTGGTCGGGTGAGCGTGGAAAGCAATCAAGGGAGCCGGAGATCGAAGACGTAGGGTTTCGCGCATCACAGCCGTGATGTACGGCAGCTTCGACACATCTTCCACGGTGATCTTGCGTCGCCCAATCACCGTATCCACTTCTTGCTGCGCCTTCTGGTAGGCCTTGGGGTTCTTGAGAAGGTAATAGAACAAGAACGAGAGCATGCCAGAAGTTGTCTCGTGGCCTAAAACGTGCGTTAGCTCGTCAAATCACTCTTCCGAGGGTGGCTTTTCGTACCGGCAATCAGGAATGTAATCATGTTGTTGATGATGGAGCTGTCCGAGAGGCCTTGACCGGTCTTGGGGTCGCGGCCCAGAATCAGGGCGTTTAGTAGATCCTTCTTATCCTCCGGGTTGTTCTTGCGCGCATCTACCAAGTCCTGAGCCAGCTTTCGTAGGAATTCAATGTCATGCCAGTACTTGTTGTTGTCGCTGGTGGGGAGGCTGTTCATGAGTGCTGGGCGCCGGGCTCGGTCCCCCGAGCCTTGCAGCAATGTGACCATCGCTTCCACGAAGGGGTGCATCTCTTCGTGGTAGAATGAGTTGAAACGGGTACCCATAGAGCAAAGAGCGATGGTGTCCAGGGCCAGCCGGGTGAAATCATCGGTGACCATAATTGGCACGTTGGGACCTTGACGAGCCCATTTCAGGGCAAGCTGACTGGCGATGTCGTACATATCTTGACGAAATTAGCATATTGGCCTGTCGAGAGACGGATGGCAAAATAAAGAAGAAGAAAAACACCTACCATCGAACATGGCCCGAATTGTCAGAGGTCCAAATGCAGGGACCAAAACTCGGTGGGCGATCTCCCAGTTCTCTTCGCCGGGATAATGGGCCGTGAACAGGCCGTCTTCGACGCCATTTCGGATTTCTTGCAGGCCAGCCACAACCTTTTTCGTGAATCGTTCTTCGTTACAGATCTCATCAACTAGTTCATGGGAACTGATAAAGACTCTCGTCTTTCCAACGATGGATAACCGGAAAATAGGCCCTGGTCAGAGTTAGCTGGATTTTCATCGCCAAGGCATTGGGAGGGAGCTACCATAGTTATCTGCCATCAACGAGAAACTCTGCTCGGGTACCTCGGGGTCGACATCTAGTACATTGCCCAGGAAGGGCACACCCCTGGGGCCCGGGATGGGGATGAATTTCGAATCGCTCATGGCGATCGGGGATCGATGACGTATGTCGTTGAGCTGTCAGGCGGGGTTCAATGGGGAGAAGTGACTTTTTTCGGCGTTCTTTTGTCCTTTACCAATGCGACTATATCCAAAACGAAGTTTTTTAAGGAATGTCACAAAGAGGAGATTGATCGGAGGATTCGAAGGAGGGGCGAGCAGGGCTGTATTTAAAATTGGGGGGCGCCGTTGGCTGTGTGAGCTCTCTGGCTGGTTGCACGTGTGACGCGGAACTTTGTCGCTGTCAATGACAAGTGAAATGGCATTGCGAATAAAAATAAATAAAAATAAAATCCAGGACTGTCCAGAACCAGTTAAAGGCTCGAATATCGTCGCATCTCGAGGTCGGGCCCATGCCTGCATGCGGAAATGCCTCGGATGTCTCTGTTGGCGGGCAGATTAGAATAGGCCTTGTGCTGATTGAGTGTGGCCTTATGCCAGACGGCCCTCATAACCCGTGCATAAACAGACCAACCGTCCCAGAGAACGACCCCAACGGTTCCACCGGAGACAACTTTCGACCGCCGAGTTGAGTCGGAGAAGACCGACTCCACGCATGCCGACCGCCAGTTGGGCCGGTCCCCTGTTCACTAATCACGAATTCAGATCTGATCAGAAGGATATTTCAACGTCGATATCGTCCCCGATAGGATTTAGTGCAATGTACTGCTCATGCATCACCGATCGGTCATTCCCTCCGATTATGCTGACTTCAAACTGACTTCAGACTTCAGACTGGTCGCTCGCCACCGGTGGGGAGATTACCTAATGGCCCATCTTGGCTGGATTGGCACCAGGCATCAACAAACACACACCTACGGGGGATAACGGGCTAGAACAGGGAATCTCCAAGGTTCATGGATCAGCTGAACATCAGAGACGATGAGATAAGATTGGGGACTGGATCGACGATGCCTGTCTGCCGAGGCTGACCGGTCTGCAGGCTATGCACCCAAGAAGTGGCGTCCGCTTCCTCAGCAGGTCAATGATCCACTCAACCTGCCCTTGCAGGAGTGTAGAATCATGGGGTTCTTCCAGAGTGCGGATTGATTTTGATCTCGACTTTCCCCGTCATGTGGCTTCTTGTCAGTTAGCTTGAATATGGAAACTGAGTGTCCTGAAACCACCCAGCTTTCTCTCGTGTGAACTCAGGGTGGAACACTCTGTTTACGTTCCAGGGACCGGGTGCACCGCAGTGGTCAAAAACGATGAATTGAATGGAATTATTGCCTGGTAAGTAACCGGCGAAATGCTTGGCGTGTTGCCTCAGGCATTCCAACACCCACACATTCTGGAGTCAGAAAGAACACAGTGACACACGTCCTACGACTACTTATTAATTCCTCCATTGTGCACGCCAGCAAGATCGAGATGCGGTTGTTACGCTGCATCTCGAGATGAACGGCGGCTAGTTCTAGCTCGTCACACTCAAGACAAATCCTAAAGGCAAGGTAAACCCCAATTCTCACTGGTATATTTATACCTCATCCAGTAGGAGGAAAACGTACGTAATTCTATCCAATCTCGTACTCCGTGTATGTCTATTCGAAACTGGGCTTGTCGCCGTAGATTGAAGACGACTTACTCAGTACTCCGGGCACCGCTGATCAAGCCATTAGCAATCTCGAATGGCCTCGCCTGTCAATCGCGACTTTTTAGCCGCCTGGGTTTCTTGCTTTCCGATCATTTTATTCACCCTGAGTATTCTCAAACCTGGTTATATTATGTGCAGGGAATGTATCGGCACACCAGAATGTCTGTTCGCATAGGCATAGATCTATTCCAAGTAGCCCTTAACTATGCCATGGTCGTAGTCGAAGTCTTCGACTCTGTAGACAATTCTCCTGGTTGGTCAGAATGACAGAATCTGAGTAAGCGGACACAAACGGTATTGTTAAATTGCCATGGGGTTGCCAGAGATGAGTTTATATCAGCCTTCTGAGCCTAACAATCAGCCGTCTCCACCGTGTCGCTCCACCAGTCAACAAGGGGAAACGATGCGCATCAGCCTTGAAGAAGTACCCCTTCCACTGTCCAGTCACGTAAATCATGGGAAATCATGAAGAATAAGGACACATTTAATTTCCCCGTGATTCATGAATCATGATATGGGGAGACTTTCCACAAAACTCCACGCCCGGAATGCTTCTCGCTCATTAAACGTCGGCGAAATTCCACCAGTCCGAAGACTCAAAACGGTCTAAGAACCACCGAATTCATTTGGACTGTTTCAGTCTCCCACAATGACCAATGGGTCCTCTACAATCTCTTGATATTTTTAATTTAGTCTCACCCCCCCCTGAAACGCTCTCACAAGCTAAGCTTTTTAGTTTTAGAAACCACAAAGTTATATCTTAGCCATGCTGCCCCAATTCGACATGTCTGCTTCCTCTTCACTTTCCTTCCATTCTCTACCCCATTCATTCGCTTCTTCTATCTTTCATTCTTCCCCGTAGCGACTGGTTCGCTACTCTTCCATTCTTTCTCCCCAAATAATCACCATCATCATGCGTTCTGCCTACGCCACCGTCCCCCTGGCTCTGGCCCTCCGCGCCGCCGCCGCCACCACCAAGGACTCCTGGGCCTTCGGAAACGGCTTCTACTCCGGTCCCTCGTCCGGTAACGCCCACATCACCAAGGCTACCTGGTCTCTCGTGCCCCCCGCCGTGCCCTCCGGCGTGACTGTCAGTGACAAGAGCGACCAAGTCTGGGTTTCCCTCTGGATCGGCCTGTCCTCGACTGCCGGTGACCAGGACGCCAACCTGTACCAGCCTCTGCTGAACTGGTCGCCTGATCAGGAGTCTCAGTATGTTTGAATTTCCGGTCTTTTCTTTGGGGATGGTTTATCTCCGTGGGTAATGAAGAGGATGCTAATGCGATGGTTTTAGGGGTTGCTCTGCTAGCGCTGAGGAGTGGTGTGTTGCTGCTAGCACTTATACTCCTGGTTAGTTCCTTGACTCTTTGCTCTACTCCGTGGAGGAGACGCAAGAGTTCCCCTGTTAAGTTGAACTTGATATTAATGTCGATTCATTCTAGACGGTCAGAACGGCCAGGACTACGTCACCGTCCCCAAGGACACCCAGGTTGACTTTGAAAGTACGTCTCCCCTCATCCATCTATACCAACCTCCTCTATGTGATAGTCCCAACATCCAGAAAACTAACACCTAATCTAGCCTCCGTCTCCGACAACAAGGTCATCCAGACCGTCACCATCGACAACAAGGTCGTCTCCAAGGAATCCGACGGTACGTGACCACCCCTCCCCAAAAAAGTAAACCGAACCAGCCCAATAATACAATACTAATAAAAATCCCCGTTCCACAGCCCTTGACAGCCCCCTCCTCTACCTTTACTCCGGAGATGAATGCTACACCGGCTCCGGCACCTGTGGCACCCTCGAGGCCTACAGCTACACCAACATCACGATCCACCTGAGCGAGGCGGACGAGAAGTACGGTGAAACCCTCAGCTTGTACAGCGGCACCGCGTCGACCGGTTTCACTACCTCCGACAAGGGCAAGACGTGGCATGCGGATGCTGTTAAGATCAAGGAGGATACTTTCCCTAATGTGCAGCAGTAAGTGCTCTGCATGTAGTAAGTAAGTGAATGAGTGTTCAGTGGGATGGTGGGGTTGATCGCTTAGGTGTAGGAGGTAACTACGGGTGGTGAAAGTGAACGCATGGTTCTTGATAGGGGGGTGTATTTACTTTTACTATATAGGGGACATATTTATTGAATAAATCATATCCGATAGTCAATACTACTCCGTGATTGTAGACAATCCAGAAGGGAAAGTATGCCCGATCATCGGAACAGATGAAGCTAATAGGAACTAGAAAGAAAAAAGAAAGAAACCAAGTTCTTCAAACTAAAAGAACCCGGCATGACTCCACCAACTCCACTTCCTCGACACGGCCGGCCCAACGAGTCAAGATTCGAGAACGCCAAAGTAAAAAAAATTTTTTAAAGAAGAACTAGGCCCTCGTGTTTCCGAATCTGTGCTAGAGTGAGGGAATAATGTCAAGGGTTTAGTTAGGGGCAAGCTAGAGCCGAGGTTCATTATAAGTGACATTTTGACAGAAGAAGAAGAGGTTGGTTCATTTGGAATGGGAGTGGGGCTGGTTCTTATTCTCAGTGTACGCAGTGTTAGCCAGGTTAGTAGTAGGGAAACGATGAGATAGATTGATGGATTTCAACACCGGATAGATTATTAAAATGGTGATAGAGAGATACTCCGACTTATCACCGAGTGAGGTTGAATTAGGGCAGCAGACGAGAAGACATCTCAGACATGTCTTAATTCAGGTCTGCCTCAGGCGAGGAATGATCGTCATGTCTTGCCATCTTCGTCTAGAATAGAAAATCATCGAGATCTATATTCCTTCTAATTATGCCGATCATGGCTTGCCCGTTCCAGTGTCGCAGGAACCCCTTTTGCTTCTTCTAGAGTGTAGTGATTCAGCCAAACGTCGCGTTCCAGTTTAAGCTCTACGACTTGGCGCAGCTGATGCTTGACCCCATAGTCTTCATTTAAATGTCCGAGTCTTCTAACGGAAACTATTCGGACCAAGACCAGAATTGACATCTAAACTAGGCATAGCTTTCTATCCTTCTTGGTGGTGCCGAACTATATCATACTGCAAGATATCTTCTAGCTCCCTGCGTTAAGAATTAGGCTGCATTACTAGCCATCTACGGTGGTCGTGGGATGTCGATGTCTCTGATCGGCGGGGTTAAGTATCTGTGGTCGCTGGGACGACTTGACGACAACGGTGGCTTCAGTTCGCAGGCCACAAACATATCGAGGTATCCAAGCAGGACCTGGAAACGAGGGATACCGGGTCTTTTGAGATGATGGCTGTGCGACACTCTGCTAAGGCCGCTGTCGGGGAGAAGGGGCGTGGGTACAGTATCATGCCAGATAATAAGAGATGGCTGGAAGTAACGAGTATGAATGTCTATAATGAACTGTCAAGATCAAGAGATGAGGAAATCTGCGTTGTGAGAGGATTTTGAAATTCGCCGGAACAAAAACAATCAAATGGCTGCAAGCAAAACGATACAAATAGGTAAGTATATACAATCGACGGAAACCTCTTATCTCAAAAAAAAAAAAGAGAGAGAGAGGTATAATATGGACATGACTATAATGAATAAATTTGGGAAAGAAAGAGATTGTGAGGATGAATCATGAGTCCGACTCCACCACTTGACGTAAAAAAATCCCGCATGTCTCCAACACCAACCCGTGCAACTTTGGCCAGCAAAGTAGGGATGCAAGGATCACATTGTTTTTTTGAGTTCCACGACACCTTTGCACGCGGGTGTGGCAAGGTGGACTGAACCCCCCTTACAGATGAAGCTGCACGAGGGAAACCTCCCGGAGATGGGTTTGATTGCTTTGTTTCATAATGAACGCAAGGGAGAGTCGGTTCTGATCACATTATTCTGGGCGGGAAGGAGGACGGTTATGCTACCGGTTGGTAGCCCTTGTGCCCAACACTGGGTGTCTTCCATTCCGATTGTTGGAAGTTGGTCATCTCGGTGCGGTTGCTGTTCCATTTGGCGTCATCGAGAGCATGTTCGAGACGGCCTGTCTTGCGCTGCTTGATGAAGAAGAAGACGAACGCAACGATGAGGATGATGCCGGCGGCGGCGGCACCGCAGTAGATACCGACCCGAGCCGCCATAGGTAGCTCGGCCCATTTCTCCGCCGTCGACTTCGGGGGAGGTTTGTTCAATTCTTCGACGGCCGTTGAGTTACCACTAGCCACCCGGTTAGCCTCACATCTTCTGGTTTGTGCTGCAGTATCAGTAATAAAAGGGAAACTTACTCGGCAACCTTGATACTCTTGTACGAGCCGGAGCGATCGCCGTACGAGTACTCCTTACCGGTGTGGAAATCGTGCACGCGCACTTTCTGAACCACCATGGTGTAAGGACCCTTATCATAGTCGACCTCACCTCCAGCCCATTCGATGGTACCAAGTTTGTTTCCGGAGTCACCAGCCGGCCAGATACCGAAGCGGACGTTGCTCGGCGTTTGCGGGAAGTTCTTGCCATCCAAGGCATCCTCGTATTTCAACGTCCGCACGAGATTGCCGTCCAGCCACCACTCGACTTTCTCTTGCGTCCAGTGGGTGGTGTAGTTGTGGAATTCGGAGTCAGCATTGGTGAGATCGTGGTATCCACCGCGGTTGAAACTCGTATCGTTGCCTTTGCCGAAGTAGTTGGATTGCACCTGGGAGGTGTTATAGCCGACCCATTCCCAGTCAATCTCGTCTCGATCGGCGGACTGCAGCACGACACTGCTGATGATACCGGCACCTTTGGCCATCTTGACGTGGGACTCGACAATACCGAAGAAGATGTAGAAGTTCGACTGCAGCGTGGGGGATTGCAACTTCGATTTGATGGTGAACTCGGCGCCCTCGTCCGTGTAGTAGATCCGACCGTTGGTGACGTTCCAGATCGTGTCGTCGAGGGTCGAGTTGAAGTACCATGTGTGGTTGGTACCCAAGGCCGGGGCTGCCGGACAATCATCTTTCTTGAGCGGATCGCAGTCGGTGAAGGTCTGCGCCGTCACGCAGGCGATGGTGATAGCCCAAAGGGACAAAAAGCGAAGGAATGACATGGTGGGAGGATGCGTGTAGGACCAGCTCCCCCCGGTGATTGAATATGGAGGTGGATGTGTGCTGCGTGGTTTCGCACTCGTCGAAGGTGTATAGATCCAAGTATATAGGGCGGAAAGGGGGCGCGCACACAACAAGCGAGTGTTTACAATTGATAGGCGTCCCCGGAATTCTGGAAAGGAATGGCTATCTAGCTATTGAGCTAGAAATTAAAGAATGGATGTGCGATCAAACCGCACGAGTGTTGAAGCGCGCCCGCAAGAAGGGATGTAGACGAGGGAGGAGGGTGAAACGATCGATGAATGAGAAGATCCGGAGGGGAACGACGGGAAGAAGAAAGAAAGACCATCATGGGGTCCTTTTTTCACTTTAACCCAATTCATCCTAACGAAATAATTAGTCGAGTCGTCCGGTGGTCTTAGGCCGCATGGGCAAGTAATTTCCTTTCGGGGGTTTATTATTAGCAGGACCTTCCAAGCATCATTTTTGGCCTTCTTTTTCTTTTCTGATTTTTTCTCTTCCTTATTCTCCCTCCCCTTCTGCAGTCGATGCCACTAGTTTCGCCTCTAGTCGTTAAGGGGTCGCCCTAAACTGGAAACTCGCCCCTCTTGGCTCGCGGTGGCTGCCCTCCCTAGTCCCACTGCGGACTAGCTCGCTACCCGCTAGCTCTGTTCGGGTCTAGCGTGTTCCCTGTGCCTGGCGCCAACCACGTCCGGTAAGGTGCGGACCGGCGGTCAGGCAACAGCTGGACCAATGGATGGGCTGGACTGCACCACCGATAGGGGCGGGGCCAATCATCCGAGTTCTGCAGGGGGTTTCCATCGCCATGTTTTTGTTTGGGCGTTTCATCATTTTCATCGGAGGATCCTTAAAAGCAAGGCACCCTCGCCGTTCCCTCCTGCGCGGGGGGGCAATCCATGGGAATGTCGCTCGCTTCTCGCTTGACTCGCTTCTCCGTGCAAGCCATGTTCTAACAGTCAAGGGGCCAAACGTCAGACACTCTGACTCCCCTCGATCCTGGAGGTAACATCATATAATGGACTGTGACACCCGGCCCCCTCTTCCAAGCATCCAAAACCAACGCCGAGGACCGCCACTCATCCCCTTACGGTGTACTCTCTTAGTCTCCTACTCCGTCCACCTGAACCACCGCTGGGAAACCGGATTGGCAGCCTGCCAGGTGAGACTAGTTTGTACCTTCGGCACCGCCTGAAAAGTAGTGAAAAGTGAAAACTCAGCATGCCTGGAACTGTGATTGACCGATCGTCGGTCATTGGCCCAGTGGCAATGGCTCCGGCATTTTTGCCAGCCTCTACATCCGGGGAGGGAAATGTATGCGGATGTGCGGTCGGAGTATAGATAAAATTAGACAGAAGGGCCCAGGAGCTAATGACACCATCGAGAACGGCGTGTGGTTAGGGTGCCTAGGGCCTCCGTCGGCAGATGGAGAGCCATACATGGATACGGTCGCTGGACAGGAGACCCTAGACTGCGACTACGGAGTAGTAGGGAGACAATCGCAATGTTGCCATCTATCGACCGTCTACGGTAGTAATGCTCGCAAGTTTGCAGCTCATCTCAGTTCTCAACTGCCGCCGAACCGCAATGTCGATCAATTCTACCTCCATACATAATACATAGCTCTCCGGCGATCCGATCCCCAAGCGGTGGGTTCGCAAAAGCAAAACAAAAAAAAAAAACTCTGCAGATCCACCCCTTTCTACGGAGAGTTCGTTAGGAACTTGCCGCGGAGTAGATTTCGCAGACGTCATTCATGAACTGTGAAATCATGAGGGATGGTTGCAGAGTACTTTGATTAAACATGCCTCCGACGTCCGAATATTTTTAGATGTGTTTTCTATAAAGTTATAAAGTATTTGGCTACTTAAAGAATGGGATGGCGACTAGTCCCGATTGGGCTAGTCAGGCCACTCGCCGGCGCCAGGTCGTTCTCTTAGTGAAGTTCTTTATAGAAGAGGATTCTATATAATCTGACAGCCTAGACGGAGTACGAGCTAGGAGGGTGCTAGAGTTACCACAATCTTCTACGGGATCATGATGCCGCTATTCTATGATAATTTCGAGGAAAAGGGGCACTAAAGATAGTAAACAAGCCATTGTAGCCATTTTCATCACCAAATATTGCTCTTTGACGGGCTCTGTTTCAATAATAGCTTCGTGTTGGAAAGTATATATAGGGGGCTCGGTTCCGAGCGCACGACAGGAGGCTTTATCGATGTCTAAAACCAGACTCCTGAGAGAAGCAACCAGTCACCATACATGTCAAATGGTAATGGACAGACTGGAAGCCATCCATGAGCACGACCATCAATAGGGGATCTCATGATTTATCGCAGATGCTGGCAGGAGCACCAAACGCTCAGCTCATTCGGACGATGCCCCACCATTTGAATAGCAACCTTATATAGAGACAAGTCAGCGTTAGTGGTAGGATTTTCCTCTGCCAAGAACAAGTTTTAGGAACGTACACTATAAAGTTGTACATACATACATACCTATACTGTTGTATGTATCTAGACCTGACAGACAGGAGCCTTCCGGCGACGACACGCCAGCCACGTGATGTCGGCCATGTCGACCACGTGACAGCGCATCACGACACGCCGTCACGACCTTACGTAAGGTTACCATACTTCATACTTACTGAGTAGTTACTGATGAACACTTCAGGATCACACATCAACGCTTTCATGTTTAAATGTAAATGGCTGTCAGTCAGAGATCAACTGACAGTTGATAATTAATCAAATTTTTATACCAATGTTCATAGAAATCGCAGGACACACGTAGTACCATCATCCATAGAACCCAAGCCAACATCTCGTGCGGGCGGGCTGGACCGAGCTAGCAAAGATGCGTCCAACGCCTGCACGCTCCGTCCGCGTCCACATCGCGACGCGATTTAGATGAAGCGCTTTTTTGTTACACCTTGGGGTCCTTCCCACTCTACATCCGCCCTCCCCCTCCGGTCTCCTCTTCCTCCGCCATTCCCCTCTCCTTCTCTCTCTCTCTCTCTCTCTCTCTCTCTCTCTCTCTCTCTCTCCCCCTCCCCTCATGCTTCCCGCCTGTTCTCGCACATAGCCCAGCCAGCCTTCCATGTCTGATCCGGAGCCCTCTGTAGCGGCACGTTCGTCGTCCCCGGCCACTGCCCAGGCGCCCGAGTCGGCTGCAGCTGCGGCTCTCAATTATGCCTTCTTGGTCCACTCGCAGAAGACTCTGACCCAGAACCTCCCTCCGAGGGTCGACAACAAACTGTTGGCGAGGCAGAAGCGTCGCCGGACGAGGTACGCATCGCGGTGTACCACCTTCCCGTCGAAGATGAACCACAACTAACGCGGATATCTTTCTTCTATATAGTCCTGAGGACCATGCTATTCTTGAGACGGAGTATCAACTGAACCCTAAGCCGGACAAGGCCGCCCGTACAAATATAGTGCAGCGGGTTTCGTTGGGCGAGAAGGAAGTGCAGGTATGCCTAACTTCTAGTTCTATATATGACGCGCCACCATCCATGCCCATGACCGTTTCTTACCAATGTCTTTCCAGATTTGGTTCCAGAACCGCCGCCAGAACGATCGTCGAAAGTCCAAGCCTCTCCAGCCCCATGAACTCTTAGCCCCGCGTTCCGGCGGGACCGACGCGTCGAAAAACATCTCGAGTGATGAAGTCTTACCCGCAGAACCCGGGTCTTCAAGTGGAACGGAACAGTCTGAGGAATCGGGTAGCGAGAAACATTCGATGGAACAATTGGTTGGCACCGACTCGGTAGAGGCGGACGTCTCGCCCGCAGAGAGAGATGAGATTGAACAGCTTGGCCCCGACTCCCAAACGAGCGTCGAGTCATCCGAAATTCCGGAAAATAGCCAGCCTATTTCAGACACGACTGAACCGGACCCAGAACCCACGCAAATACACGAGACCATCGTATCAGAGGAGTCGCTCCCGAGCTCTGCGAAGAGAAAACGGTCCATCTCCGAACTTCGTGAAGGCCAGCCACCAGTACAGCAACCAGTCACGCCGGGTGCAGTGCCGGATGCTAGGTCGCCGCCTTCCTTGAGGATTTCCTTGTCATTCGATGGCGAGGCGATGGTGAGAAAGGACACCGAGTTGACGCCGTCTCCGCCGAAGGGACGGAACGCGCTTCGAATCGCCATGTCTTCAGATGGGAAGGCCGTGATCCGTGCCGAGGGCGAACCGTCGCCGTCTAAGAATCGGGTCTCTATGTTCTCGGCCCGGAAACCTCAGTCGGCAGGCCTTCGACGAAGCAACAGTGCTGTGGTGCATGGAACGCCGCGTGGCCCCGCCGAGAAAGACAGACTCTTTGGAAGGTCACGAGACCCTCGCAACTGGGAGTCGTTTTTTGACACCGATGCACGAAGTGCCCTTTCTACACCGTCCAGCGCCCAGAGTGCGCCCAACTCCGGCACCCCGGGGATATTCCGCCCCGGAGCTCCACGTTCTTTAACCCGAAGCCTATCGGCTCGACATAGAAACATGTTGACTTCTACACCCACCTCTTCTGAGTACCTCAATACGCCAGTCCCCAATGCCGCAAGAGAGAAGCGGCGGAAGATTTCACGTACAGTTTCCTCCTTGGGACGTCTGGAGTCTGGCCACAGCCTTCTGAACCGGACGGCATCTGGCCCGGCTAGACAGGCCAAGTTACTCCCGAAGATTGCCAAGGACGCTGGAGACGCAGATATGCATGGTGGTGATTCTGACAAGGAGAACTGGGTCCCCGGTACTCGAGCGTCCCATGTTCGTCGTCGGACGGCTTCCCACCATCAATCACAACGCCCCGCTCTCGGAGAGTCAAAGGGGAGAGACGGAAAGGCCAATAAGGATCTCATGACCACCGGCAGACGCTCGCGACTTTCTCAGACGTCGCAGCGCAAAGTCAGCGGAGGCAAGGACGTACCAGAAGAGGACGCTGATGTCTCTGCATTCATGGCTGGCGGGGGAAGTGCAAGTCAGGAAGAAGATCTTGATTGCATCCAGGGCTTGCTGTCACTCAGCCAAGGTGCATGGAGGTAGAAATTCTGATCTGCTCTCCTCGATACGAATCTTTTTTTCTCTCTTCTTTTCTTTTGTCCATTTTCCTTTGTTTCATATCCATTCATTTCTTCTGGAATCATGTTGGAAGGTGCAATCCAGCAAGCGGTGATTGCCTGTATGATGCTGAGCGATGCTCATTCTATGACGATTGACCTGTCTTTCCTGTCTAGTGCAGTCCTGGCTCCTGAGAGCTGTAATGACTGCCTGACATTGATGATGAAATTTTGCTACCGAGTAGGGCACATGATAGTCCTGTGTAAATTCTCCGGCTAATACAACAATTTTCAAACAAAACAAATTATTAAGCCAACTCTTTGGGCCATGAATTGTATATTTCGCCCATTTCCCCATGTAGTTCACATCAGCGAGGTTTTAGGCAGAAACAAGCTCGGCTAGTAGGTCTGCACGTGGCCTGCAACTCTTCCCTTTGTCCTGCGGCTTCTTGGCCTTGTCCTCCCGTCCACTCGCACATGAACTGTCCATCTGCTTCTCTCTTGTGCTGGGGGGCCCGTTCGTTTCGTCTTACGGTGAGTTGCAAGTCTGTGTTTTTTTTTTTTTTTTTTTTTTTTTTTTTTTTTCATCTCATCCCCTGTGTGGTTTTCTATTTCCATCGCTTTTGCGGATCTTCAGTATTTGAGTTTCTGCTTAGCATCATCGATTTAGCGGTACTCGAACTGCCTACAGCACCCAATGCAGGTTGTCTGTACTTCGAATGTATTGCCTCTGTTGTTGCTCTTTGACTATTTTCGTGTGATAACCTATGCTCTGGGATAATGTCTATCTCTTTGTCTATGGAGTCGAATTGAATTGCCTAATGCTGCATATGGCTGTATACTCGACCTGCGGGGTCCACTAAATGCACCCCAAGATCAGAAATAATAGGCACTGGAGCTGGTTATACACTTCATTCTACAAGAAACAAGCTAATTAAATTCTATGATTCACAAGAGAACAATTTCTGTCGGTGTAACTGCAACATCGGACTTTTTATTACCGTTGTTTTGGCATCAGCGCCTGACACGTAGCTTTAGCTCACGCTGCGTCAGTGCCATGGACAAAAAACCTCATGTGGCCATCATTGGGGCCGGCTTTTCGGGACTCAGATGCGCAGATATTCTTGCTCGAAATGGGGCTCAGGTGACCATCTTCGAGGCCAGGAACAGAGTCGGAGGGAGGGTGCGTACTCATTCAAGGATATGCCTCGTTCGTGCTAATCTGAAACAGGTTCACCAAAGCGAGGTTGGGAATCACCTGGTAGATCTGTATGCTTACTTTCCCTCTCTCGGAATTCACACTTATGGGAACGGGAATACTAACTGTTACGGCAGAGGGCCGAATTGGATCCATGGCACCGGAAAGAATCCAATCGCCGATATTGCGGCACTGACCGAAACCACCACTGACGACCTTGAGGGAGACCAAGCTTTGTATTCCTCTGATGGCAAACTCATAGACCGTCAAGTGGCCGCCAAAGTATCCGAATTCCTGTGGGAAACTATCGGAGAGGCCTTTGAGTATAGCAATGCTCACAAGGAAACCATCTCACCAGACCGCAGTCTGCTTGGTTTCCTCACGGAGCGACTTGAGACAACCAGTCTCACTCCCTTGGAAAAGGAGCTGTGTATAGAATCAAGCAGGCTGTGGGGAGCGTACGTCGGGGATCCCATTGAAAGGCAGAGCCTGAAGTTCTTCTGCCTCGAAGAGTGTATAGACGGGAGTAAGTTCTCGCTACTCCTCCGCTAATATTGCATCCCTGCTCACCCGAATCCTAGATAACTACTTTGTGGCTTCCACATATAAAGCTATCCTACAGCATGTCTCCAAGACAGCCCTTGAGAACGCCGAGATTCGCTTTGATCGACCGATAGTCAAAATTGATTCAAAGCTCCGAGATGATCCAAAGACACCGGGTGAAATCGCCTTAACCACCGCAACTGGCGAAATCTTTCAGTTTGACGAAGTGGTAGTCACCTGCCCACTGGGATGGCTGAAGCGCAACCAAGCGGCCTTCACCCCCGAGCTCCCGACCCGACTCACCCAAGCCATCAATAGCATCTCATACGGTCGACTGGAGAAGATATACGTCACCTTCCCCGAAGCCTTTTGGCACAAAAATACAGACCACAACACCAACAATCTCAATGGACCAACACCAACAACAAAGACCACCGCCCCCGAACAACCATATACCTTTATCCAGTTCCTCGACCCAACTTACACCCCCCGCCCCTCCAAGATCATCTGGAACCAAGAGTGCGTCTCCCTCGCAACTCTCCCCGCTCCCTGCACCCAACCCACCCTCCTCTTCTACACCTATGGGCCCTGCGCCACGCACATCGTCTCATCCCTCAAAGACCTCCCTCCTTCCTCCCCAGCCTACAACACCTACCTCACCACCATCCTCTCTCCCTTCTACTCTCGTCTCCCAGGCTACGACCCCTCCTCGCAGGCCTGCCAACCAACCGCCTTCCTCGCCACCCAATGGCAAAACGACCCCTACGCCGGCCACGGCTCATACTGCAATTTCCAACGCGGATTGGAGCACGGCGATCGCGACATCGAGGTCCTGAGAGCCGGTATGGGCGTTGACCGCGGCGTGTGGTTCGCTGGCGAACATACGGCGCCGTTCGTAGCTTTGGGGACCACGACGGGTGCGTACTGGAGTGGGGAGCGCGCGGCGAGTCAAATCTGTGCGCTTTATGGGTTGGGAAATGTTGGGGTGGGTGTGGTGAGGGATGACTCTTTGCCTTCGGCTGCGGTAGCGGCAGGGAAGGACGTGGTGCTGGAGAATGGTTCGAACTAGATGGTTAGAGTGAGGGAGGTAGACCTAGAACTATGACCAGAACTATACGTTGCTAGATAGACCCAAGATGAATCTTAAAAAAAAAGGCAAGAGATGTCGGCCGAAGTTTTGCTATATCACAAACATATACACTCACATACGTATGCACATCGTGAACTACTTCCCCTTATACGTAATAATTTAACAAACTCGTTCAATTTCACTAATTGATATGATTGATCCATGGGATAGACAAGGTAATATGTATTCGCAATATTTACACATCCACGAAACACGAAAAGCCACTCAGTGCCGGAAGTCGGACTATAGGCCAGAAAAGAGAAAGGTGGACCTAGTTCGAATGCGTTGTACAATAAAAGCAGCAGCAGCAGCAACAACAACAGCAGGAAGCCAAGCACACAAAAGCCAGCCAGTACTATAATTCGAACGAAAGATGGAAGAAGTACAAAAAATAAGGGGAATCACAACGGAGACGCTATTCAACCGCTCCTAAGAGGGAGGGTGAAAGAAGACGAAGATAGAAGATAAAAACAGCGGCAGGAATAGATAATCACGAGTGGCAAAGGAGAGAGAGCGACTTTCCGGAGAATAATTTGGCGCCATTGACGGGAGCATTCAATAATCGTGCACGATCCTCAGGACTCCGCGTAATCTGTAAGCAAGGCACAAAGGTAAAAAGTTAAAAACAAGCAGTACCACTTAAGGACAGTAAGGGGGTATCCGCAAAATTCCGAACTGAACGCCGGAAAGACAGCAAAGCAAAGGTGCAGAATCCGATAAGCTTGAAATTAACAGGCTGAGAAGAAATGCAATAGTTGAAAAAGAAAGAAGAAAAACAGAGCAATGCTCATATAGTACAGCGCATGACGGCGCACAAACGATAAAACTGGCAAAGATTGGTCAAATGGCTGGAGCTAAGATAAACCAATTTCACTGCCGAGGCTGGGTGTCACGAAATAACGAGTATGCGTTGTAGCCACCTCAAGTTCAATTGAACTGCCTTAAATGGGCGTTGAGACCGAGTTGATAATTCCTGGTGGTGTTTTGAGTCGATGAGTAGACTCAAGGCCGCCTGCTCAGGGTTGAAGCATGTGATCATACAAGACCTAGCGTAGCGTCTTGGAAGCGCAAAGCAGGAAGGGAATCCCGACTCAAACTAGCTATTTCCGATCAATCTTCCCAAATAGTCTCTAGGTCGAGGTCTTGGCGACGCTCTGCTCCACAAACACTCCAGCGCTTTCTCTTGTCCGCTCGAACTCCGTAACCCCCCGATCCACCTCTCGCGTTCATGAACGTGCTCGAAGGACCGGAAGCATCGGACGTACCACGTCGCCGGCTCCCATTAGCCGCCGCCTCGGCTTCGTCTGCCTTGTCGGCTGCAGCTTTCAACATCGCGATCTGATCGGCTTCGGTGGCCTCCGCTTCAGCATCGGGAATGTCGGGGATTGTTTCCAAAGACGAGATACTGGGACTGCGAGACCGAATGCTGGTAGGCGTGGATGGTACGGAGGAAGCGGAGGACGCCGAGTAACCAGGATAGGATTCGTTGAATTTCGAATTCAGAATCAACGGGGAGGCATGCGCGGAGGAGGGGCTGCTGGTCAAGTGGCTGGTGGAGGTTCCGGCATGGAAATGGAGGGGGGACGATGGTCGCCGGCGACCAATGCGCGGGAAGGTGTGAGGGAACATCGGTGAGGCCGAAGGTGGTTCTCCGTGCGGTGAGGAGGCCATTCCGGTGTCCAGTTCGGCGTGTTCTGAGATAGTCTCGGAGATATTCAGGGGCATCATTCTGGCCTCGAGATTTTCTCCAACGGTACCCTGCAGGGGCGAGTAGCGCTTGGGAATGTGATCCGCGAAATTCGTCGGTGCGCCGCGGCCGTTGACGAAAATATATCTTCCTCGAGAGTCCAGCCCGGGTGAGGAGTGGGCGCGCGTCATTGGAGGGACCCCCGAAACCTCTGCGAGAGATCGCGACCGGAAATGGGAACGGTTGAAAGGTAATCGGCTCGGGGTCGAGGGAGGGGGGTGGTGATTGAGCGATAAGGTTATCATGACGTTTTCTTCGGGTTCCGGCGTCGAGTTGGGGGCGGGTGTAGACGTCGTCGAGTCGATCGAGTCGATCGAATCGACCGAGTCCATGGGGCTGGGGGGAAGCATAATCCCCTCTGGCGGTAGGTGAGACGCTTCCATATCCGTTGGCAAGAAAAGAATTAGGCTAAAGCGGCTGCATGCTGGTGCGTCGAACAACTGGCCCAGAGAAAGCTAACTGGGAGCCGATCCGGGGTCGAGGGGTTGAGGCCCGTTACTTGACCCAAAGAGAGAGCGCCGGAGCAGGAAGGATGACTAGTTGAAAGAAAAGTAGAATGCACCCCAGGATATTATATCCTCTTCTCCACGGAGAGAAGACCAAGAACCAACCAGCAGGGAGGAGGAAATTTGGTTAGTGGGTTTGGGGGGGGGGGGGGGGAGAGTGGATGTGGGGTGGGAAAGAATGAAGAAGGTGGCGGAAGGAAAAGAAGAGAGAAAGAAGAGGAAGACGAAGAAGAAGGGGGGGAGAAAGAAGAGTTGGGAGGGTTTGACTGGTGAGGTCAAGACTTTTTGCCTTTGGCCGGCACGAGGTCACCGACCGGGGCAAGTCACGGACCATCTGCTTTGCCTTCCACGGGTCACCCCCTTTTGACCGTCCACTCACTCCTCCACCTGCCTTGACTACGACTTTCACCACCGTTGCAATGCAAGAAAGAAGACTCTGGCAGGTTGATTCTTATTGAGCTCAACCCAGACGGGTCGAGATTTGCCATTATTGGATCAGACTAATGTACAGTATCTCCTGCACATCTCCCTCGGCGCAGGGACGGGGCTGAGCCACTCGTCTCTTAGACCCTGACGGACCTGAAAACAGGCACATCGGTACATCTGGAGCTTCCCGACTGGTCGAGCCCCTGATCATTGATCATCGTCGCATCGCCGGCTGAGGAGTCCGTACGGGGAGCCACCAACCATTCCTTACTGATCGCCCGCGACAATTCACGTCGCTGCTACATCCAGAATTCACGATTATTAATCGATTGAATGACCATAAAGCTCGATGATAGACAAATAGACAGACAGACCGCTATCGAAACACATTACATTGATTATATATATAGTTCAAAAACTTCAAGCTTCGAGTAGGAGAAGCGCACACAGTATTAATTGAATCCCCTCAACACACGGGGGAGCAGGGAATGAGTGGACCGAGGATATAAAGGAGACTGTCAGGATAAAAGAGAGGAAGAAAAAGAAAAAGAGGAGAAGAGAAAGAGAAGATGAAGAAAAAGGAAAAGAAAGAAAGAAAAGACATAGTAAAGCACAACGAGGACGATATCACTGACACCATCGCAGAACTCCCGGGCCTACTGGTGTTCATCATCTTTGCACATGCTGGGCGCCTGATCGTGGTGTCCATCGTCTTGACACATCTTCGACGCCTTCTTTCGCATATATACCTCTCGAACTGGATCCCCTTCATAGTTGTTGATCACCCACTCTCCAATTCCGTATTCCTCCGGGGCTCGCTTGACGCCTCTTCCACCTCCACCGATGATGAGATTTCCCGGACGATAATCCGGGTCTGCAGCCATGCGACGTATCGCAGACACATGGATTTGGGCGTCGTTCGGAATATCACGGACCTCGCCACAAGGAAGCGGCCAGCGGATTGGCTTCCACGACCCGTCATCCTGCAGATCCATGCGTCGGAACGGCAGATACTCCATGATGCGCCATGTCAGGACAGACATTGCTGGGAGTCCCTTGTTGAAAGAAAGACAGTCGTGTAGTAGTCCTTCTCGGCTGGAACTGTGAAGAGCAGCAAGGAAGTTGCAACTCGACTTGGACCGCGACTTTGCGTTGTCATTGACAGCCATTCTGAACACAGGGTGCTCGGACTCGTCATTGGCCCCGTGAGAATAGTCTTGATCGTGACCCCAGCCATTGCTGCGGTTCCAGCGGATGTTCCCGTGGATGGGAGAATACTGTCCCTCGTATTCTTCACAGCATTCAAACTGTTTCAGTTTCCGAGAATCGAACTGAAGGCCCGCCTGCTGTGCCTCTTGGACCATCCAAACTAGAGGTGCGTGGCTGAGCGGCCAATCTTCATCGGCTCCTAGTTTCCATCCGCCGCCAATATCCGCATGGCCTCCAGGAAACCATACTTCTTGGATGTCTTGGGCGCTTTCGTCCTCCTCGAAATACCCTGGATTGGCACCCGGCACTTGAAGTGAAAGACCAGAGTGCCCACTCCTGACAGACGTCAAGTCCTCTGTGGACCCAGTAACCATGGGAACCGCGAGACTGAGATGTCTTCTCTGGTTAGGAGCAGGGGACGGGGCGCGGTAACGATGAATCTGCTCGTCGTCGTCATCATCGTGCGAGCCGGCTACGCTGCGGTAGACTGACGCGGTGTCCTCATGTCCCTGTTGGGTAGATCCCTCGTCGGTGGCTTCTTGCCCGTCCTTGTTATCGTCATTGACGACGATGGCGGGCACATTCTCGGATCTATCGTGATGGTGACGAATGTTATGCAGGTGGTGTCGTCCCCAATTATGGTGTCGTCTCTTTTTGTTCTGCCAAGGTTTGGCTTCTGAGATTAGGTCCTGTCGAAACTTGGCGCGTCGCTCGTCGATTCCCACGGCATGTCGAATGACTCTGGCCGAACTACGGGCGGTATATGGGAATTTACTTCTTTGCATCCAAGCGGACTCAAAACGGGGCACACTGTTGACTGTATCAAACAAGCCCATGAACTTGATTCGGGTGATCGGCCTGCTGAAAGTCTCACGGAAGGCTTTCATATAGCGGAACAGTTGCCGTTTCTCCTCTTTCTCTTCGTCAGTACCTTCGCCACGTCGCTGTTGCCATTTCGCAAAGGTCTTCCACGCAAACCGGGTCAGCTCCTCGTTGCCCGCTTCGAGGAGGCCGATGTAGTCGAGCATCTCCGCCAGGAAACGCGCAATATAAGCCCCTCGACTGAACCCGATGAAATAGATTTCATCACCAGGTGTGTAGTACCTCATCAGGAACTTGTATCCTCCCATAACATGCTCATCAAAGGAAGAACCGACGGCAGAGTCTTTTGCTTTGAGGTAAGCAGATTTGATGCGCTGGAACCGACCATGGCTTGAAAAGGACTTTGACGTCACGTAGGTTCCAATTCCTGGCTGGTAATAGTGAAACTGGTGGCTTTTACTGCGATCAAGCATCTGAGTTCATCATTAGCATCCTGTAAGAGGACTTGTCTTCGAGCCGAGTCTTCCTCAAAGCAGACTTACTCGAAAGATCTTGAGGACATTGCTGTCGGACTCGTCGCCGCAAAATTTATTACCGGTGCCGTCAAAACAGAGTACGAATTGCTTGGGCATGGGACTTGGTCCCAGGTGTTGTGCGTCCATGGTGGTGTGGTCTGGACAAGAGTTGAAGGGTGCAGCAAGTGGAAAGGCTTATGGGCCGTCAGGACAATTAAATCGACAGAATGACAGGACACGTACTCAGGGAATCCCCCAGTCTATATACAAAGGGGGGCTTATAACGGACAGAGACATGCAGCACCTGCAGGCGACCCTCGACCGGATGGATGCCCGTCCCGACAGACTGCGGCCTATCACTCGTGGATCTTCAGGAAAATATGTGCACGGCAACGCTATAAGACCCTCCAAGATTTGGCGACCAGGTTCCTGCAGTCTAGTCTTCAACCAAACGCTATATCAAGCTCATACCTAGGAGGTGGAGCCTAGTCAGTGGTTGGTCAACTTGATTGACTCGGTGGTTCTGAAGGTTAGGGAGGGGGGAAAAGAGAAAGAAGAAAGAAAAAAAAAAAAAAAAAAAAAAAACCGGGAAACTATTAGTTTAGTGGCATCTGCAGCTTTGGAGTTTTTCCCTTCTTTTTCTTTTCTAAAAATGATTGTGATTATGCCGCCGCCGTCCAATGTTTGACTTTGATTGTCATGTCAGCCGTACAAGACCCAAGCTGGCCAAGACTGACGAACTCAGCCGGGGTTGACGCGGTACATCAGCCAGCCCGCCAAAGATGACCATGCGTTTATCTGTCAATGCCATAATTGGACATGGTCCATCCTCGACAGTGATCGTCTTTGCCTTTCTCATTTTTTCCTTAGACCGGAGGAAGATCGCAAACCTTTTTTCTCTCCCCTTCTCCTCTCTTCGACACACCCAGCCCTGGGTCCGTCCCCTCCTTCGGGAATTGGAATGCGAGGTGAAACCAAGACATGGTCACTCTGAGGCTGCTGATCCAGCCGCCAGTCATCGAATGGCGCTGAAGGACTCATTGGGGAACCATAAATTATGTGCGGACGATCATTCCCAGCTCTACGTCAAGTGGAGAAATCCTGCCGCTGACGGGTCGACCCTAGTGCTCCTAGCTGTGTACTGCGCGTGTATCGGGAGATGAAAGAAGAAAAAAGAGGCCCTCGCCCGATACATTCCAGGAGGATATCCCAGATCTACCCCGTGCTGTCTACGTGAGATTGGAATGTGATGAGCAAAATCAAGAAATCGATCGGACCTTACCAAGCTATGATTTACTTTAGGGTCCGAACACACGATGGTATGTGATAAAAAAAAAGTTATTACTGTTTACCCCGTACACAGCTCCGTACGAACTTGGCGAAGATGCATGTGTTAGGATTTAGGAACCTGCTGGAAAAGGGAGCGATCATCCACGGAGCACAGTGACCGAAGTAAGGGACCAGCCGAGATGAGTTCAGACCGGCTTTGATCCTTCGCACGGTGGATCAAAAGGGCCATCGTTCGCACCTCAAGCCGGTTCAAGGCAACTGGAGGGAGTCTACCAGCATTGTGACTACTGACCAGAACGAATGTTTGGAACCGAGCCCCAGGAGAGAGTAGTCCGATAGATCGTATTGCCTGAATCCACCGGCAAACCTAAAGACGCGCTGGCCTCAGGCTGTCCCCGCCGGTGGGGAGCCTTGGGGAGCCTTAGGGGCCCCAGGCCGCTCAAGGACGAACCACTCGGCAATACCCGATTGTCCCTCCAGTCCACTTCCAACCCACCTTCCTGCACGATTTCTTCAATAGTCAACCCTCATCCAGCGCACGACTGGTCACACCCTGCATATCAGCAAGCCACTCGGTCGATGATGTTGGGCTCACATTCTTCGGCATTTCCTCGGTCCATGCCCTGTATCCGGTATACGGGTACGTTTCGCCATCACCATCGCCATCACCATCACGGTATCTCCCTCATTCTACTCCGCACTTATAATCAGGATCGCTTCGGGTAAATCCCACGAGATGGAGTGTGATCTGGCTAGTACTGTGCGAAGGACAGGCTAAGTGAGCTAACCCCTCCCTTGGTTCTCTGGTGGATCCCCGATGACCAAATCAAGGGGGACTAACCACAATTTGACTCCCTACTAACCGACTTCAGGGGGCTGGATCCAACCAATGATTATACTACTCTACGAGACAAGCCCATTTCTCTCAGATTGATTTGGTCTTATAGAGCTTGCGGCGTATTCTACAAATTTCATAGTCGCATTGGCGAACTCCCGCTTCGGTTTGTCGATCCGTTGGACGATCTCGATTCAAATTAGCTTTACAGAGTAGTATTTGACATACTGAGTACGTTGTAGTTAGCTGTGAGCCACAGCCTTTGCACCCGGCCCTGTGATGCCTCGAATTGGATTCGAGCTTGTGTTATTTGCCTGCCCGTGACCGGAGATTATTGTGCTTGATTCTCGTGGTATATGTACTACTGTACATGGTCTACCGGCTTCTTGACGCCGCGCCAGTTATTCTCCGAGACGCGAGGATGCGGAAGGGTTGGGGATAGCAGAATAGACTCCCGGAGGGAGCCGGGAAAGCAGAAAAAGGACGACGGCTGGGGAGGTGGCCGGCTATACTTACCAAACAATCGAGGTATCATTAGCCAGTTGCCATCCTTCAGTGATTGACACGCTAATGCCACTAATCTTTAGTTGCTTCCAAGTAAAATGACGATGATCCCGTGTTGCGAACGTGTGGGTAACTTAGCAATGAGCCGTCCCCGATTGGACTCCACCGAGTGTCTGGAATGATGGAATCGAAATTCAGATGAAATTCCTTTGTCGGTGGGAGATCTTTCGGGTGTATCGATCACTGACCACTTCCTAGCCCTCGCGAGCATATTTCACAAGTCATAAGATTTGACAATCTTGAAGAGGGGCCTGGCCACATTTTGTGTTGTCGTTGTCGGCTGTGTTTTCCCTGTTTGAGCCCCGACAATGTTCGCCACGATGTCGGTGCTGATAGGGCGCCCATCCTTGCATACGAGCGACCGAGATAGATCATATTGATTTATGTGGTGGTTACAGTACATACGGAGTACATCCGTTGACCGACTGCCGTGAGCCGTGAGCCGTGAGCAAAGACCCTCGATACGCGGCCCTAGCTGAGGTGTCTGTCCACTCTGCTTCATTCATGGATTGATTGCCAAACTTACCCATCCAGATGGGCTTCCTCTGTACGACCAATACCAGTTGCAATTAACAAACCAATAGCTCGGACCTGTTCAGCTCCACGCTTGGGGCCATTTGCCTTTGCAATTGGCAGCCCAGAGCCGAGGTGGTGATAGACTTACTCCTCTCCCTGTCTCGACGGATCCACTTCCCAATGCTCATCATCTTGGCCTCCGCCCAGTCACTAATTCACGATGCCTGCAGAGTGCAGATTCAACTCTGTTTGTGGCTGGCGACCCTCACCGCTATAGAGTGCGATCAGCCCCGGGCCTGGCTGGCGATGACGCGCCCTGATCATTAGAAACAAACATGCCTCCTCTTTTTATTTGTTGTTTTTTTATTTCTTACAGAGGAAAAAAAAAAAAAAAATATCGTCCTTATTGTCATGATTCCCCTCTCTGCCATGCTGTTCCCCACAAAGGTTTCCTTTCCTTTTCGGGCACCTTGCTTTTTTGGAATTGACGGGTACAGGAGGCAATTGACTGACTCAAGATGCCTTGCCTATCCCGACTTACGTCAAAGTTACAGAAACAGAAACTTCGGGCTTTCCAACAGGATGCCACACACCATCCTTGCAAATTGTCGTACGGTACCAATATAGAAAGGATGTTCGCGGTGTAATTGTCGGTGCTCCCACTGGCCACTACCCCGATTCCTCAGGACTCGGGATCGATCATAGCTGAACCACGTTCGATCGGCACTAAATCTCTTCTTGCTTGATCGAATCGGAGGTCCCCACTCAGCCCCCAGCACCAATGTTGGGCGAAACATGGCTCTCTTGCGCTACTCGCGGGGCTTGAGCTATGTGTACTCCGTATTATTACTTGACAGCTTCAAGGGCGGTCCTCGGCAGCCATACACGATAATTCCCTGAAAAAATTGATTAATTACTATTGCTATCAATAAGATTCGACGCGCAGGCTCCACCAGGTGGCTACTTACTTCCGTACAAGTGATTTCTAAATCCGATTGTCCTGCGGCTTGCTTTTTAAATGCTACTGTGCCGACGCATCGATAGCTCGGTCGCCTTTTCTCCCTGAGATTCCTCCTTTGCTTCCTTTTCTTGTTTTTCTTGCTTGTTCCATTTGCCGCTTCCCCCAAACAATCTCTGCTAATATTTACTTTCCTTGTTGTTTGTCCATAATAAGATACCCATCATGTTGCGGAGATTCTCCACTACCTTCAAGAAGTCGAAAGGCGACCGTGAACCGAAGCAGAATAAGAATGGCGCGCAAGTAAATGGCACCAAGCGCCAGTCGAAGATGTCGTCGGCGCCTATCTCTTCGTCCGACGAAGACCAGAGCGAAACACTGGAAGATGGCGTTTCTGTTTTTGACAAGTATGCGCAGGTGCTCCATGCTTCGCAACGCCCTCTGCCGAACCAGACTGGCGATGGTACCTACCTTGAAAAAGAACACTCCGGAAGTCTGTTCCAAGATGTTCGCTCTCTGGGCTTTCGGGATGTTGGGACCGTGAGAGATCTTGTGAAACAGAAAGCCAAGGGAGAGCACACCGACGATAAGACGATGTTGATGGAGCGCATTATTCAAGTAAGACGAATGCCACAGCCCCTAGTCCTGTATACCTATGAGTTTGCTCACGCGCGTGTATCTTCGCAGCTTGTCGCTAGTCTTCCAGGAAACTCGAAAACCCGCTCCGACCTTACGAATGCCTTCTTGGATCAGCTATGGGGTTCTTTGCCCCATCCCCCGCTCTCGTAAGTCAAACAATTGATTACCAGCTATTCGCGCGCGCGCCGATCCAAGCTTTGGCTAAAACTCTCAAAGATTCATGGGAAATGAGTATGCGTATCGTACCGCAGATGGCTCAAACAACAACCCTACCCTTCCTTGGCTTGGAGCAGCCAACACGCCCTATGCTCGCTCGATTGCTCCATTGACCATCCAGCCTGGCGGATTGCCCGATCCAGGCCTGATTTTCGACTGTCTTTTCGCCCGTGAGAAGTTCACACCTCATCCGAATAAGGTTTCTAGTGTTTTCTTTGACTGGGCTTCTCTGGTGATCCACGGTGAGTGCTTGTGGAAGATAGACTGTCACGGTAAATGCGCTAATGCCACCTACTAGATATCTTCCAAACTGATTATCGAAACCCTAATATCAACAAAACCTCGGGTTATCTCGATCTTTCTATCCTATACGGTGACGTCCAAGAAGAGCAGGATCTGGTCCGAACGCATGAAGATGGCAGATTGAAGCCTGATTCCTTCTCCGAACCCCGTCTCCAGGCCTTCCCCCCAGCATGCTCGGTGATGCTGGTCATGCTGAACAGATTCCATAACCATGTTGTGGAGCAGCTTGCCGAGATCAACGAGAACGGTCGCTTCAATAAGCCTAGCCCTCGTCTTTCCGAGGAGGAGGCCAAGAAAGCATGGGCGAAATATGATGAGGATCTCTTCCAGACTGGTCGTCTGTATGTAGCCTCCACATACGTTAATACCCCTGCCCTGAAGTTGAGGAGCACTGACAATTTGCAGTATCACTTGCGGTCTTTTCATCAACATTACCCTGTACGATTATCTGCGCACGATCGTCAACTTGAACCGGGTCAACAGCACCTGGTGCTTGGTAAGTCGCTCGATAACCGGATGTAGAATTAAAGGCCTGACAAGCGATAGGATCCTCGTGCACAAATGGAGGGTACCAGCACTACTCCATCGGGATTGGGCAATCAGTGCTCTGTCGAGTTCAACCTTGCCTACCGCTGGCACTCCGCCATCAGTGCCAACGATGAGAAGTGGACCGAGGAGATCTATGAGGAGCTAATGGGGAAGCCTGCTGAGGAGGTTACTATGCAAGAGCTCCTGATGGGACTCGGTAAATACGAGGCCAGCACGCCTAAGGATCCTTCCAAGCGTACCTTTGCCCATCTTAATCGTCAGGAAGATGGCACTTTCAAAGATGAGGACCTCGTGAACATCTTGGTCAATGCGACTGAGGATGTTGCCAGTGAGTAGCCCGCACCTGTTGGGTAAGGGTTCAATGTGTCTAATATGAACTTCTTAGGCTCTTTTGGCGCCCGTAATGTGCCCAAGGCACTCAGGTCTATTGAGATCCTGGGTATTCAGCAGGGCCGTCGTTGGAACGTGGGCTCTCTTAACGAGTTCCGCAAATTCTTTGACTTGAAGCCTTATGATACCTTCGAGGAAATCAACTCGGACCCTGAGGTCGCTGATGCTTTGCGCCACCTGTATGAGCATCCGGATTACGTGGAGCTGTACCCTGGTATTGTTGCGGAAGAAGCCAAGGAGCCCATGGTTCCTGGTGTCGGTATTGCCCCTACCTACACCATCTCTCGGGCTGTCCTGTCTGACGCCGTGGCACTTGTCCGTGGTGACCGCCACTACACGGTAAGATTCTCGTCTCCAAAGCCACGGCTCAATTTGTTCCAACGTCCTAACTTCGACTTTTAGATCGACTACAACCCGAGGAACCTGACTAATTGGGGATACAACGAGTCCCGATACGACCTCAACATCAATCAGGGCTGCGTGTTCTACAAGCTGGTCGCGAGAGCCTTCCCCAACTGGTACAAGTCTGATTCGATCTACGCCCACTATCCCATGACAATTCCCAGCGAGAACCGAAACATCATGAAGAACCTCGGCAGAGAGTCGCACTACTCATACGACCGACCCACGTTCACGCCACCCCATGTTAACCTGGTCTCTTACCCTAATGTGAAGATGGCCCTGGAGCAGGAGAAGGAATTCCGTGTCGTTTGGGGCGAAGCCACCAAGCTCAGCCCTGGAAAGGGTGGAAGTGACTTCTGGAGCAAGTCTTTCAACAATGACCAGTGGCGCAAGAACATTAAGGAGTTCTACGAAGACGCAACTATGACTCTTCTGCAAGACAAGTCATGCAAACTCGCAGGAATCAGGCAGGTCGATGTTGCACGAGAGTGAGTAATCCTATTTTCCAATTTCAATCGTTCCTTGATTTTCTGACTCATTCTTGATAGCGTTGGAAACCTGGCGCCTGTTCACTTCGCCTCCAAGATCTTCTCCTTGCCTTTGAAGACCAATGAAAATCCCCGGGGTGTTTTCACTGAGCATGAGATGTTCATGAGTCTGGCTGTGATCTTTACTAGCATCTTCTTCGACGTGGACAAGATGAAGTCATACCCCCTGCACCACGCGGCGCGGGCTGTCTCTCATCAGCTGGGCCAGGTCATTGAGACCCATGTCAAGTCCATCAACTCCCCTGGTTTCCTCTCCGCAATTATTGATAGCTTCGCCGATGACCATAATGTCCTCAAGGACTACGGTGACCAGCTAATCAAGCAGCTGCTGGAGACCGGTCTGGGTGTCTCTGAGGTTGTCTTTGGCCAGATCCTGCCCACGGCCGTCTCCATGGTGCACAACCAGGCCCAGATGTTTACTCAAATCCTGGACTACTATCTTTCTCCTGATGGCAAGAAGCACCTGCCAGAGATCAACCGTCTGGCCAAGCAAGAAGGCAAGGAGTCTGATGATCTGTTGACTCGCTACTGCCTGGAGGCCTTCCGTCTCAACGGCACCTTTGGCTCCTACCGGGAGGCGCAGAGAGACTATACCGTCAACGATGTGAACGGACCTGTTTACATCAAGGCGGGTGACGTCATCTTCGTTGGCGCCGTGAAGGCCAACCGGGACCCTCAGGTGTTCCCCGACCCCAATGAAGTGCACCTGGATCGCCCGCTGAACTCATACATCCAGTACGGCCTTGGCGCTCACACTGGTCTGGGCAAGGAAGCCACTCTGCTGGCACTGACAGCCATGCTACGTGTGGTCGGCCGCCTGGACAACCTCCGCCCTGCCCCAGGCGCGCAGGGCCAGGTGAAGAAGATCTACAACGAGAGTGGCTACTATGTTTATATGCGGGCGGACTGGGGCAGCTACTCACCTTTCCCAACCAGTGAGTATTCCCACTTGGACAATTTCATCTTGCAAAAGCAACTTGCTAACCTATGCCCTCTAGCCTTCAAAATCCACTTCGACGGAGAGCTTCCCACCCCTAAAAAGCGACTGCATTAAGTTGAAGCAGCGTTTGCGTTGGCTCCAAATTGTTTGAGATGACGGTGAACAGTGATGATTGCGTGTTAAGATATCCTGAGTTTTGTTTTGTTTTATCTGGTTTGATTCGATACGTAATGGCTTGGATGTGATGTAACTCAGATGAACTCGTACTTTGGTCGAGATGTAGTAATATTTTATTGATTTTGAGCACTGCAGATTGGGAGTGTATCCCAGTCCATGTATGTAGTACGGAGTGTGTATCCATAGTAGTAGAGCAGCATGTCTGTTGCTGCCTGAGTGCCTTAATGCCTTGATGTCATCGCCCAAGGCCAGCACATTCACCGCCTGGATGCTTCATGCCCCACCGCCCTCAGGATGTTCTGCCACTGATAATCACTCGACAAAACAAACGACGACCGAGCAACGAGGGAAAGCCATCAGGGCTCAATCGATAATTGATCCATTCCCCTCGTCCTCACAGACACTACCACCATCATGCCACCTAAAGCCGCAAAGGGCGAATACATCGAGACCGTATGTCTAAATGACACTCACCCATTCCATTGGCAATTCCTCCCCATAAACATGAACTCCAACACATCTATCTCATCCCATCTCATCTCACCAAAAAAAAAAAAAACAAAACAGGACACAGGAAACAAAATATCCCGCCGGTCCCAAATCCACGGAACCCAGCATATCATCCTCGGCGGAAAGACCGTGATCCAAGCGGAGGCCGTCATCCGCGGAGACCTCTACCGCTCCTCTACCTCCTCCTCATCATCCTCAGCAGAGCACCACGGCCACGGCAGTCACGGCCATCACCACTCCTCCTCAACCTCGGCTCCAGCCTCTACACCCTCCGTTGCTATCACGATCGGCCGATATAGCTATATCTCGCGCCAGGCTGTGTTACGACCGCCCTCGCGTCTACACAGAGGCGTACATTCCTTCTACCCGCTCAAGATCGGCGACCATGTGTTTGTGGGCGAGCGCGCGGTCGTGGAGGCCGCGACCGTCGGGAATCATGTGCATATCGGGCGGGAGGTTGTCATAGGGAGCATGGCAATTTTGAAGGACTTTGCGTATGTGCTTGACGGGGCGGTCGTGCCGGCGGGTATGGTTGTGCCGAGTTGGTGTGTTGTTGGGGGCGCGCCGGCGAGGATTGTTGGCGAGGTCGGGGAGGGGTATGGAGTTGAGGGGGCGGAGGGGGGGATGGCGAGGGAGAGGTATAGGGTTGTTGGGAGGTGAAAAGGGGGGGATTGGATTTAGGGGATGGTGGTGATGATTATGATGAGTGGGTCTGCGTTTGTTCATACTGTTTATCCTTCTTATACCCCTGGGAAAATGTTATGGTTTTTGTGTTTTCATGTACATCGGTGCTTTGATTTCTGTGCTTTCAATCTGGGATTATTGTAACATATGGAAGACATGTCGCCTGCGCAGCTAGATACTGAAATAGTCGGGCTCAAACAGGTTCACAGATATTGACTGACAAGAATGATATGCTAAGATCTTATCTGGGCTGGATACGATAGTGGTGTATTACTTCTAGTGGTGTTCAGCCCATCTTCTCTAAATCTATCGCTCGCTTCAACCTCGGCTCTCCCTCAGTGTAGGGTTGACCGGCTTCGTTGCGTGCCAGATCGTTGATCCATCGCCCGTTTGGCTTTAAGCCCTTCTGTTTGGAAAGCGTGGATGCCAGGTAAAGCCAGTTCAGTGTGTTGCCCACGGTGCTGACCTCGTCGCATACATTCTGCAACGCGAATTGGCGCATCCGCTGGTACAGTTTGTCGTCGGTGCACAGGTCATAAAGGTGCTGCGCCACGCTGTCAGTGTCACCTACGTCCACCAGGAAGCCGTTCTCCTTGTCGGCGACCTGCAGGGGGATGCCTCCGGCCCGGGTGGCAATGACTGGTACTCCCTTGTGAATGGCCTCGGAAACCTTCACTTCGAATCCTTCCTGGGTGGACAGCTGCAGTGCCACCTTGGCCTTCGATAGTAGTGCATTGAGCACTTGGTCCGAAGATCCCAGCCGGACGACGCAGATTTGATCCGCGAGATAGGCGAGATTCTCCTCGATATGCGATACGACCGCATCGTAAATCACTGAGCCGTCGGGGTCATCAACTGACCCATGTCCACAAATCAGCAGCTTGGGTGGCGACTGATTAGGCACCGAGGCCGTAAACCGCTCATGGAATTTGACGTACGATTCCACCACCTCAGGGATTCCCTTGGATGGATCAAACCGGGCGATCTGTGCGATGTACTGTTCTGAAACCCCCCGAAGCAAAATGCGATGTCAGCCCGCAGGAAAGCAATTAGGACGGTGTGCATGGGATCCCTTACCTTTCGGATAGTCAATGGTCGGCATCCCCGAGTTTCTGCAGGTCGAATTGAAAGCACGGCCGTAATAGGCAGCATCCCAGTCTCGCATGTGTTTGTTCAATCCGTCCAGCCTGAGACAGAACATCAGCCAGAAACTCAATGGATGCAAATGGCAGGAAGAAAATAGATTGCTTACCAGTCCGTTGATGCCGGCATGTAACCCACTTTTTCCTGGGGCACATTGTGCGGAACAAATGTCCTGACGGGCTGACTGATGTAGACGTCTGCGGACTTGATGGTCTCCCACATTCGATTCCACGCCTCTGCCTGGGGAGTGCCTGATTGAGAGATCAAATCCGTTCGTATATGGATGTGGCTTCGGAAGATGACCGGCCGGTCAGGTGCTATGTCTTTGGCAATGGGGATCAATGCAGGCATCTGCGGGTCATCGATAATTATCACGTCGGCACCTCCTTCCGAAGGGTGTACGAGAGGGCCCCCGGGGACCAGCCAGTATCGCTTTGCATTTTCATGGATCCAAACCACAACCTGGTCCCATTTCTCCTCGGTCAAACGCTCTCCGGGCTGTGAAACGCCCTGCAGAATATTGTGATTTGTTTTGGTGACACGGAAGATCCCCGGTCGTGGTTTGGGTACATACCTGGGTCTTCAGATCAGTTGCTATCCCTCAATTTCGGAGTGTCGGGGGGAGGGAGACTCTTACCATGCAATATCGGTACCTAGCGAATGGGAGAATCTCACCAAGGCATGTCTCATCAAGGCCACGCCGCCACCCTGAGGCGTGGCACTAAAAAAGGCAATTTTGAGTTTCCTTTGTTTGAGATCTGTCGCATAATGTTGAACAGCGTTCCATGTCTTGGCGGTTACCGTCTTTTTGAAGTCATCAAGATTGGTGAGACGGACATGGAAAGCAGTATCAACCTCCACCAGGCCTAAGAACCCAACCTGTAGCAAAGGAAGATTGTCCGGTCCAAACAGTCTAGACGTTGCTTTAGTATCTCGTCCCACGTAACAAGAATAGAAGAAGGCTAGATGCGTCCTACCTCACACATTTACGTCCCATCGATTCAGCCTGCTCGTCGAGACCCCGGATCTTCCAGGCCTGGCTGCTGGGAAGACCAAAGGCGAATTTATCATCCCCTTCTCTTCTGCTTTCCTCGCGCAGTAATAATGGAAGTACATCCAGTTCAGCCCACAGACGTGAGCAAAGGCTAGGACAAGCATCTGCTACACGTTCCGGCATTGCTAGACCAATGAACTTTTCCATGTGTCTTTCGCTAAATTGCTGCAGTTGCTCGACAATGAAATGCCCAATCTCCGTGCAGAACGATTCATTCTTCTTGAGTTGTATGTCGTGCTGCACGAAATCTAGAAGGTAGGTCACGTCCCGGATGGCGAGAGCAACGGTCACAAGACCATCGTCTGTGAAGTCGGCCGAAAGACCTGCATATACAGTCTAGTCGAGTCAGTTCAGTGGGTTGAATCAGCAATCAAGCAGGCAGTCTGCATACCCCGGACAAAGGCGCACTCCAGGAATTTTGTTCGTACTGGACAGAGAGACGTCGTTGCTGATACAGCGAACTTCGACGTCTCTGAGGTGCCATACCAGGCGCCATAGTTGTGTGAATAAATCAGATGAAGGATGTACGGTATTGAGACTATGTACGAAAGATGCAAAAAATCAACAAAACAGCAAAGCTGCATTCAGTGAGGATGAAAATGGTATGGAGATTTCGATTGTAAGTATTGTTTTTGTATGTAGTACAGTGTGCTGGCTAAAGCGTTGGTGAGGTCACCAGTTCAAGCCCATGACGTATGAATGGTGACATCAAACGCGTTTTTCCGCGACATCCGAGTCTGCAGAGGCTGTTATAGGAGTGTTCCGTGAAAACCATCCAGTGGACGGTCAATGCTTAATTCCTTCAGATCTAATCAGAGAGAATGGATCGGGATATTAGTTGCGCACCGAGCCTGAGAAGTCAACCCTACTCCATCGACCCTGACTAGTTCTGCAAATGAAAGGGCGACAGAGAGGGGCTCCTGACTCGGAGGAACAGGTCACGGTCGCGGATTGTGTACTCCATGAAGGAGCATGGATCATGGAGGGGTCCAACCGGATGGCAGATTCCCACCCGGACTGGGGAGATGAGAGTGTCGCGGATAGAGAGGAAGGCAGGGCGCAGGTGGCACGGCATGGGAGGGAAAGAGAGGGGAGACACGTGAAACACTCGAATGCTTGGCATCTGCTGAGTCAGCGCAAACCCCCTTTTACGGAGTCCGCCCGATCCATTCGGGCTTCTCCTCGTGTGGATCGTTGCCAGGAACTCTGGGTTACGCCCATTTTAATTAATCACCTTGGGTCAATCTCCCTCTCTCTCTCCCCTTCTTCCTCTCCTGTTGTCTCCTTTCTGCCACGTTGGTTCAGACTCAGGACGGTTCCTGTTGTGTACCCCCCTCATCTGCTCATTTCCCCCTTTCGGCCAAGGTGAGTTAGTTTCACAAGTCTTGTTTACCTTGCGACTTGGCCTTGGTCCCTGTTAAGTGCTAACGCGGAGTTCTGTTACAGCGGAGTAGTCGATCCGACTTCACATTCTTTTTTTTCTTCCCTCCCTCTTTAATTATCTTATTCGATCCTTTCTTCAACCACTCCTTTCCCCCTCCTTCGCTCATCAGCCATTGAGTTCCTACCTCGAAGCTACGAACACCATCCAGCAAGACGCCATCCTTTACCAAGCTTTTTATCACTCTTAATCGTTGTCGGCGACTCCCGCAAGTCGCCTAATCACCTGTGAAAATGGGAGGCCAAGTTTCCAAGATAATGGGGAAGATTTTCGGAACGAAGGAAATGCGGATTCTGATGCTGGGATTGGATGCTGCCGGAAAGACGAGTGAGTTGCATCGCCCTCGACGCGACTTTTGACCCCGCAACTGTCGACTGTCGGTGTACACGGTTCAAGAATGATCCCGCTAATATGCCTCTCCGATTAGCAATCCTCTACAAGCTCAAACTCACAAACCAGGACGTGACCACCATTCCCACCGTCGGTTTCAACGTCGAGAGTGTCACATATAAGAATGTCAAATTCAACGTGTGGGATGTGGGTGGTCAGGATAAGATTCGGCCCCTCTGGAGACACTACTATTCCGGTAAGACCCCGATGCACCACCTTCAGCCCTAAAACTATTGCTGACCCGATGTGAATCTCTGCAGGTACCCAAGGTTTGATTTTCGTCGTCGATTCTAGCGACACGGCGCGAATCGAGGAGGCTCGCTCCGAACTTCACAAGATCATCAACGACCGGGAAATGAAAGACGCTCTTTTGCTGGTCTTCGCCAACAAGCAGGATGTTACAGGCCGTACGTGATTTGGCCCCTTGTTCATGGGCGTGTTCGGTTACTAACAGTCTTGCGCGTGTAGATCTTAGCCCTGAAGATGTCACCAATGCCCTGCAACTCAACAAGCTCAAGGACAAGCTGTGGTATGTTGCACCCAGTGTGGCTACCGACGGAACTGGTATCTTTGAAGGCCTGGTAAGGATCCTCCCCACCATCTTTCTGGATAACGAATCTAATTGGTTTCAGGCCTGGCTTTCCAACAACGTCAAAACCCAACCTGCGAAATAATTCCCGTTCATGGGAAGCATGGACCCTTTCGAGAGGCACCGAAACAACGCATCGCGCCTCATGTACAACAATCTCTTTTGTATCATCCAGTCTCTTTCGTTTCATGTCCGTTTTGATGAACAGAAGACGCAGCATTTGGACTCCGTTTTTTCACCACCTGTCCCTCATGCGCACGTCTTTCCTAACCTTCGCTTCTCCATTTCCTCCCTATTTTCTTATACTCTTTTTCTATTCCTATCATGATATCCCTCACTGTTGCTATGCGGGTCATATA